AGGATTTGGGCGTTTGGGCTTGGGGTTGAGGGCTTGGGTTTGGTGCTCAGGTTTAGGTGATGGGCATCAGCGATCTCAGGGTTTAGGGTTTGGAGTTACCTCGGAGCAGGTGGCCAAGAACTATGGCAGGGATACGTTGGAGCTCATGGAGGCCCAGCACATCGTCGCGATGGAGGAAGACCTACATGCAAGTGCTAAGAGGGATGCAGGGAATGGGGAGCAAGAGCTATGCGGATCGGCGGACTCCTTCCTGGGCGAAATGCAGTGTCGAGCAGGCTGTGATGATGGGGCCAAGGGCATGGGCAATGTGGAAACGGAGGTGGATGATGCGGAGGCCACAGAGCCGGGGACAGCGAGGTCGGCGGAGCCAGTGCGATTGGGGTCACCTTGCTGGGGGAGTTGGCAGTGGAGATGAAGGGCGCGGTGCCAGTCAGGGAACGACAGCGGCTTCAGGGATCAGCGACCAGGTCAAGCAGTGAAAGGGGCTATAGGGAGTAAGCAGGCCTGCCCAATGTGGCTCTCCAGACCTCTGCATTACGGAAACGGGCTCTCAAAAAAACAAACCCTAAGCGATCTGAGGGTTTAGGGTTGGATTAAGGCTTTTGGGTGTGGGGTTTACGATTTAGGCTTCTGGGCTTCGGTTTTAGGGCTTGGGTTTGGGGCTCAGGGTTTGAGGTTTTGTTTGGGGTTTAAGGTTAGTTAGGGTTGAAGGTTTTTGGGCATCAGCGATCTCAAGGTTTAGGGTTTGGGGTTGACTGTTCAGGGTTGGTCTTTTGGGATTAAGGCTTTGGGTTTTGGCTTTTCGGCTTGGGGTTTCGGGTCAGAGGTTCACGGTTTTTGGGCATCAGCGATCTCAGGGTTCAGGGCTTGGGGTCGAGGCTTTAGGGTTTGCTTTTTATATGATTAAGGTTAAGGGTTGAGAGTTTTGGGTGAGAGTTTTGGGGCATTCAAAAGAAGAAAGCCCCAACGCCTCAACCCCGAACCGCTGAATCCGAAAAACCTCAAACCCTAAACCTTTGACCTTTAACCCTAAACCCAAAAGCCACAACCGAAACCTTACACCCAGACCCGAACCACGAAGCCTTAATCCAAAAAACCCAACCCTAAACCCCCAACCCTAAACCCTGAGATCGCTGATGCCCAAAAGACCTTCACAAGCCCAGAAGCCCAAATCCTGCATCCAAAACCCCGCAAGCCCCAAACCAACCTTAAACCCTGAAATCGCTAATGCCCCAACACCCTCAACCATAAACTAAACCCTAAGCGATCTGAGGGTTTAGGGTGTGGGGTTTAGGATTTAGGCTTTTGGGCTTGGGTTTGAGGGTTTGGGTTTGGGGCTCAGGGTTTGAGGTTTTGGGGTTGAGGGTTTTTGGGCATCAGCGATCTCAAAGTCTAGGGTTTGGGGTTGAGGGTTGGGTCTTTTTGGGAATAAGGCTTTGTGGTGCTGGCTTGGGGTGCAGGTTTCAGGGGTTGCGGTGCGGGTTTAGGGTTTAGGCTTGAGGGTTGGCGTGTGAGCGTTTAGGGTTCGATTGGGTCTCTAGGGTTTGGGCTTTTGGGTTTTGGATTTGGGGTTTGGGTTTTGGGATCAGGGTTTTGGGGTTCAGCAGTTCCGGATCGGGCAATATTATAAGTTATATGTGCGGCTTTGGTATAACATTCACCCACCGAAAGAATCCCGCATCATTAGGAAACCATTCTACATGTAAAGAGCAGCCCAAACACATTCGGCGGATCTATTCGCGAATCGTCTGGATCACTTGAAGTACCGCTGAGCACTACGATGTCTGCTTTTCAGACACTCGGCTTGAGCTGGACCCAACATGTGGTTCCCACAGCGATACCGACCGCAGCATCGTCGAACTCCTCAAATCTGGGTCAGGGTGGAGGCACTCCCCCAGAGAGCAGCAAGGCGGCGTTAATTCCCCACAGGCTAAAGGAGGAGAAGCGCGGGATGCATGCAGGTGCAGGGCTGTGGCGCGGCTTGCAGCGGGAAACAGCAAGAGTTACCCTCCTGTGCTGACGGAACCCAATGGCTATGAAACAAGTAGGGCCGCACAGGTCAGACATTCGCGCGAGGACACAGTTTCACGCCGACAAACTCCTCTCCCGCTGCGTGTGAACGAATGTTGTTTTTCTTGTTGTTCTTGCGCTTACTGTTATGGTTCTGATTATAGTGTTTATAGTCATTACAGTTATTATAGTTGCTATAGTACTATAGTTGTTATAGGTATTATGGTTATTATGATTATTATAGTTACTATAGCTATTATAGCTATCATAAATGTTATAGTTGTTATAGTTATTATGGTTATTCTAGTTAGTCTAGTTGTTCTAGTTAGTCTAGTTATTCTAGTTATTCTAGTTCTTGTAGTCATTGTAGTTTTTATAGTTGTTGTAGTTATTATAGTTTTTATAGTTATCAGAGTTATTATGGATATTATGGTTTTCATAGTTATATTAGTATTATAGCTATTATAGTTATTACAGCTATTTGTGTTATCGTTCTCATTATTGCTATTGTTGCTCTTATTTGTTGTTACTATTAGTTTTTCATGATCGTTAGGATTGTTATGACTCTTGTTCTTGCTATAGTTGCTAGTATCATCGGCCTTATTACTGTTACAAGTCGTGGTCTTGTTACTTAGTACTGTTGTTATGGCACCTTTTTATAATTTACTATTAACCTTTTGTTGTTAACATCATTGTCATTATTCATATAAGTTAAGATTGAAAAACGAAGCCAAGGAAGAATACACGGTATGACAACTGCTGAACCGAAACGACTAAATAACGACATCACAAAATCGGCCAACATGGATAAACAAGCCTCACTGATGCAGAAATGTAATGAAAACCCTAAGGACCCAAACAAAAAAGGACTATGGAGAGCAGTTCGAAGTTTGAAGAGAAAGTTCACACTTCAATACGTGAAAATGAGAAACAAACATGGCAAACACCTTCCGTTGATCCTTCGGACAGAAACTGTTGCAAGTTGTTTGGAAGAAGAACATTGGAAAACTGATGCTAACGGACAGCCATGCAGGACAGAAACTGTTGACAACAATTTCGTTGATGAGTCAGCTTTCACTATTTCAGAACTGAACGACGCCTTACAAGCAACAAACTCTAATTAACAACCTGGACCTCACGGGATCATCATAGAGCTCTTGAAGTGGCTCGATGCGCCGAATGGGGATATTCTACTTCAATTAATCAATAGATGGTGGTCCAAGAAGACCGCCCCCGAAAGACTGTTTCTTGGCGCGGGTCGCTCCGATCTTCAAGAAAAGAGATACAGATGTTGCTTCTAATGTAGGCCTATACCTTTATCAAGTAGCATCTACAAGGTGTATATGATGATGATCAGGTCCAGAATGCAGATTTCGGTCGAGCACCTTTTAACAAAGATGCAGTACGGTTTCCGACCGAGCAAATCCACGTCACATGCCATCTACCTTATCAGACGTATACAGGACTTTGCAGAGTCGAAAGCTGCCATGCTAAGCATTGCATTACTCGACTGGGAGAAGGCTTTCGATAAGACTCAACATGACAAGCTATTGGTTGCTTTATACAGATTAGGTTTCAACCAACATTACATAGATGTTATTGCGGATTGCAATCGAAAGCCGACATTCTTTGTGAAGGATGATTTCGGCACTTCGACAAGAAAAGAGCAAAGAAGCGGCATACGACAAGGATGCCCGTTGAGCCCTTTCTTGTTCACATTGGTTATGTCGTGCATTGATTATGATATTCAGTCTTCCATCACTGGTTACGTAATAAGTAATAAACAATAGAATTCCGGGGCTGGATGATAATGTGGTTTATTATGCTGATGACACTATGTTTCTTTCCCAAAGCAACAGAGGTCTCAACGAACTTTTATGTTTCACCGAGAGGATTTCACAACAGTACGGACTCCGTTTGAATCTAGACAAGTGCGTCGCAATACCCATGAGTAAAGAAGGCTCCGTACATTTTCAAGATGGCAGGCCATTAGCCACTGAATACGAAGCTATGTATCTTGGCTATCTTGGTAATGAAATTAACAGGGAGGTCAATATTCGTCACGAGATTTCGAACAAGCTACAAGAGGTAAGACGCACTCGGATCAAATTAAACCCTTATTGAAAGCAACCCAACCTAGCAAGAGATGGAAGCTAATAGTATATGACGCCATAATCCGCAGCAAGCTACTATATGGGCTAGAAACTATCCACTACCACTGCTATGGCAAAGAAGCGCAGTGCGTTCCAAATGAGGGGCATTCGGAAGATTTTAAACAAAGCTCCCACCTATATAGACCGCACAAATACCAATGTTAGGCTTCTGGAAGAAGCAAGTATGATAACATTTCCAAGCCGGGATGACCAACGAAAGATACTATGATTCAGTGAGCTCCATAATCTACGACGTGCTAAGCTTTGAGGTCATATACTTCGTAGTGCAAGTTCAGATCCTTTAAGACAAGTATCGTTTATGCCTTTATGCCCAGCAGTGCCAGTAGAGTTGATTATGGCAAAAAGCGTGTTGGTAAGCCCCGGAGAACTTGGCTACACCACGCAAAGAAGTTTGTGTGGGAGGAGACGCTTGGCAGATTATCCTATGAAGAAACCCCGGTACAAGATCGTCTCATCTAGAATGCAAGTTTGCAAAGACAGTTTCAAAGCGTCTGCAGAGGGTAAGCTTCTTTTTTGGTGCACCAACGCCGTGTCTAGAAGTTGACGTACAGTCGATTCACGGTATGGACTCGGAAAATGTGGTACCATGGTTCTGGGCCTCAGGTAAAGGACTAGGGAAGGGGGGCACTGTGGTGGTCACCCCCAAGCTTCAAACTACCGCTCCCACAAAATTGAGAACTCTCAAGAGCTTTTGCGAATGTGCAAAGCAGATCACACACCACTGGTGGGTATTGTGCTGCCGCTCCCGTTCAAGCTTTCCGGTGGTGGGCGCATTTCACGCATACTCAGGGCAGAGATTTTGCTGTGTGTGTGTAAATGCGACAATGTACTTTCTGCTCGCTCAGACAGTTCGCAATTGCAAAAAGCTCGTGTGCTCGATGCGCTCAGGAACTTGTTGCGGCAACAGCGGGTACATTCCGCTCAGCATTGATCCGTCTCATCGAGAACAGAGATCCGGACTTGGACAAGGATTATATATCGGTTGCAAGCGAGGATCGCAGGTTCATCGCTTGCTTGTCGACGCATGCAGGCAGTTTGCGCTCTTGCCAGTGCTCATGGTGATGCATGTGCCACACGTGCGGTCGCCACGGTCCTGCCCACAGCCCCATATCGCAGCATTCATTGCGATTTGCGGCAAGTGATCTAGGCTTTGGCCGCGCCACCCTCTGATGCACGCCACACAAGGCCACGGACAGCCTTGCAAGCTTCGTTTGCTCGGTGTGGATCGCTCCATCTGGGAAGAATACTCTGTTTTGGTTTCGAATCAGGCGGGTCAGCCAGGCGCTGCTCAAGATGGCTGGCAAAGGAGACGCTGTTGCAATCGAGGTCCAGTGCTAGAGCGCTGTGAGCCGAACCTTGATAGACGGAATGAGGCTCGCTTACTCAGGCTGTGAGTGACTGCTTGAAACACGAGTCCAGCGTGGTGCGGGAGCAAGCCGTCACTACGCTCAAGGAATTGTCCAGGCTGGCCGAAGACAGCAGGGCGGCAAGCAGCAGTGGCAAGCCTGCATCGGCATTTTTAAACAGTACTTGTCGGCTGGACCTTTACAAAGGTGAGCAAAGTAGACTCAGGGTATTGTTGCAGCCGTGGATGCGAGACACGGTTTTGTTTTGCGTTTTGAACCTGGCAGTCCCGGAGATGCGGCAGTGCTTCCGAAACTGGTGGCAGCTTTGGCAGACGAAGGGCTGAGGGTCCGAATGGCTGCTGCAGATGCTTTGTCCAAGATTGTTTCTTGGTCAAATTTGCAAGTTGGTGATGGCAAGCTTCAGTCTTATGCGGCTATACCGGGGGGCCTGTCAATGGTACACTGCTGGTTGTGAGACTGTTTTCGGACTTGACGACAGGATTCATACACAAGACTGTGCTAGCCTTTCTAAGAACAGTCTGGGGATTATCACCATCATGACTCGTGTGGCTGCGGTTACTCTTGGAAATGAGAGCCACCCGCTCTTGTCAGTTCAATTGAGATGAAAGGATGCCCATTATGTAGATGCACCCCCGCCCTGTTTCAGAGGCCACAGCCCCGCTCTGCAAACCAGATCCATGCGCACACACACACACCAGGAAATCAAAGCATTGATGGCCCGGAACAAAAAAGGCCAACATGTGCAAACAACTGTATTCGGTAGTTTTCCAAGTTTGCACCACAAGCCGCCCAGGCGCAGAGGGGTGATCCTCTTTGGACAGCACTCATCGTGGATTACTTGGGCCATCAGTCACTCGATGTCCGTGAGGCTTCTTCATGCATCCCTATTCTTGAACGTCCCAAGCGTCTGTCTTGTGGCGATGTGATGCAATCTCCCAATTCACTGAAGTTCTTGGCCCTTGGACCTTCGTACTGGAATGCACTGGAGCAGGCGGCACTTATCGCCCTGCATCGACTTGCAGCTCCAGGCATCAAGTGATGCCAAGGGCTTTGCTATCATGTTTCATGCAAAAACTTCGCAGGCTGTGCAGACGTTGTTGCGTCGATCTCCTTGCGCATGGAAGATGCTGACATTGGAGGGAGAAAGGCCCTTTTAATGGCACTGCAACAGTTGCACGGCTGCAGCCTCGATGTCGTAGAGTCGTAGCGGTAGCCGCCACTGTCTTCACACCGAGGCTCGCTCCTCCAGGACTGCTGCTGCTGCTGCTGCTGCTGCTGCTGCTGCTGCTGCTGCTGTTTCTTGCAAATGATTCAACTGAGCCTTTCTGCCGTTCTTGTGAGGAAACCAGCCTGCGATCCTCGAGGCTACGAGGTGCTGGTGCTTGGTGCTGAAGAGACTTCTTTTATCTCTTCTCACTTTGACGCCAGGCGCCTGACTGACTCCAGCATAGAGGTTCGCAAGATGGCCTTGCGAGTGTCCCCTTGTTGAATGCGACAGTTGAAGAAGAGACCGGCACCCTTGCGGCTCTTTGCGTTGAGTTTGCCAAGGCTTGGAGCGCTGGCAGACGACTTGCCACCCAACCTCGAGCGAGTGCTTGAGAGCAGCCTCCAGGCCGGCGCAAAGACGCCCGCACAGACGTTCTCTTCCTACAGACTCTGCGCGTTTCACATCCAAGGACTCCCACGCATCGGTGCGAAAGACGGCTGTATCGGCCCTGGAGAAGTTGGCCGCGAAGAGTCCCTGGCTTCGAAGATCCTTGGAACAAATCAAGAACAACGGGTTTGATCAAGAAAACAACGTCTTGAAAAGTTCGGGAGAAAATGACTGCAATACTTTCCGAGATTTTGATGTAAGCCCGAACATCTTGATGAATGCTTAGGACCTTCGTTGCTGCTGAGGTCTGCTACTGTCGCGTCTTGAAGACCCTGCACCCTGCGTGCAGTGCGCAGCGATTCTTGCGGCAGGCAGAATCTGCGACCTCGATGATGAGGCACAAGCTTGTTCGGAAGTTCTGACCGAACTGTGCTAGTCGTAGAAACAGAGGCCTCGGCAAACACGCTGGCAGCGTGCTTGGACTCGAATGAGAAGATGTGCGAGGCTCGTCCTGACATCCCTCACAAGTTGAAGTTGGGGGGCGTGCGGTGAGCATGTTGTGTGCGTCGAAGGGGTTGGCTCATGCAGGCGGCTGCGCAGCAGTCCCTTGGATGGCTCTTGCAGCGCGGATCCCGAGCGCCACTGCCGGTGTTGGCACGGCTGCTTTGGCATGGAAATGAAAAGGCCTGCTTACACTTCATTTTATATGCGCTTCGTTGCTCCGATATGTTGTTTGTATCTTTCTTACGGGGTGCTAGACTTTGCGCACATGCCCATGCAATCGACCTGACACCTTCCATTCCGAAGGCGTAAACGAAGCATTTAGCTTGCAACTCAAGCTAATTCCTAATGCTAAGGCTAAGGTTATCGCAGCTAAACATCTGAGCTATTGCAGTCACATCCCTTGGCAGGTCCGCGAGTCAGCGAACCTCGTGCTTTCGCGACTGCCTCCTCAGTGGCAATGGTTGAGGCCCGGACCGGATGCGAGTTTGTGCTGCTCCTTTTCATGTGCATGCACATAACAGTAGCCACAGTAGCAGTAGCAATGGTGAGGTGCAGAGGCCGAAAGAGCCAGCTTCTCCTTTGCAAACTCGCGAGGGAGAAGTGGAGCCCAGCAACTCCTCCAAGCCGACCCTTGCGGTTCCCGCACAAGGTGGAGGCCGCAGCACGGAGGGATGCCTTACATTCTTTGGCGATCGCTTTTGGATCATGAGGCCTCGTCGTTCTCCTGACGCGGCCAACCCGTGGCCTTGGTACTGCTGGTGCTGTTTCACTTCTTTGGGCTTGTGCCTGATTGCAGTTAGAGCATGACTGGCTTGTGAATTAGCAACCCGGCAACTGCAGACATGCAGCTGCATTAGCTCCGTTCAAGCTGTCCATGCAACGCATTGTACAGAATGTGATGGCTGTGGAATTGTCGGAGACAGGCTGCTCGCTCCTGGTAATAGACACTGGTAGAGAGATGGAACCTGGTAGAACAGCCTGCATCCTCGACTCTGTTTGTAGCACCCGCGCAATAGCCCAACAGTGGTTTGAAGTGAGCTGCGATGGAAACTTTTCTTTGCTACCTTTGCCGTCTGCGGTCTTCGCTCCACTTCGCGGTGCGCCTCCAAGGTAGCGTGGAAAGCCGAGACTCCGAGCTCGTGGCAGGCCCCAGCCCCGAGCATCCTCAGCCCCAGGGCAGGAGCTTTGCATAGCTTTGCAAGCTCCAAGCCTTTCTAAAGAAATCATGCAAGACCGACGTCAGGCGATTACTGCACGTGCCCGGGCAGAAGGCGGGCTCTTGATGAACCATGGCCTTGAGCCTTGTTTCTCGAATGTTCGCTGCTCTGCTCAGGCCGTGCTCAGGCCGCTGCCGAGATTGTAGGGGGCTTGGTGGCACATTGCAGAGGGACTGCTGCAAGCAGCTCCTTGTAGAGATGACGTAGTGACGATGCAGTGGCAAACAGACGCGGCTAGGCGAGGCTGCGAAAGGAAGCCTAAGAAACTTTTGGTGACAAGATGCCTTCATGTTTACAACAAAGCTGCGAGCACCAAACAAGTGTTGAAGTGACACGGCCGGTAGAAGAGTTCAGGCAATCTCCTGTAGGCCAGAGCTTTCCGTTGAAAATCTCTCTGGGGGCCTGACCAGTGACTGCAAGTCTTGCAAGGCCCTGCTGCGTCTGAATTCTGGACTTCGATCTCCAAGACGCCAGGCCTTGGGACTTCATGCCTTTCGCTGAAGCTGTGCGCCGTGTCATTCTCCAGGTTGCTGTCAGAGAAGAAAACTCTCCGAGACGTGCGTCGCCTCGTGCCGCTGTATCTCAGTCGCTGTAGACTGGCCCAGTAGACGCCAGACAAGCCGAGATCTCTGCGATGTTTGCTGGTCACTTGGTGAGCACTGAGGCAACACCTACCTTGGACACCGGAGGGTTGAGCTCACTCTCGACGTCTGCAGGTTCTCGGGTCGGTTTTTATTTTGCTTAAGACATTGACAATGTTCAGGATCGGCGCTGTCATCGCCGCTCCGACGACCTGGGACAGTGCAGCACAAAAAGAAGTTATGTAATTGGCAATCTCTGCCTGGCATCCGTGAGAAGCTTTACCAGATCCAGGAGTCCGGTGAGGGCCTCAAGCCCGACAGCTTCACGACGTCCCGAGGAGGGGATGCATGCGCCATCATGGGCCATCGGCCATCATGGGCTGATTCGGAAAACAAACTGGATCGTAAAAGCCTCTTGTCGGCTTGAGTGTTTGAGTCTGTGTTGGGGGAAAGGGGGTTTCATCCCCTCTTGAGGAGTGCAGGCGTACCTCGTCGCCTAGAGCTGGAGCGACAGAATCCATTCCAAAGACCGAGAGTACGAGGTCGAAATCTTTGTCATGTGCCGCACAGCGATCAAATGAGCCTCTGCCTCTCAGGGAGAGAGTCGACTGGTCACCCTGCAAGTGGCCACCCTCTACACGCACCTTGGCGAGTTTGCGTGTGTGCCCATGCCGCCATGCCGCCATGCCTGGACCAGGTGTTTTCTCAATCTATATAAGCCAGGGCTCCGGTGCGCTCCAAATTCGCTGGTGGCTTTTGCCCTGAGGTTGGCCGTCTACTCAGTTGCCACAGAATGTAAATCTATGGCCGGTGGCTGGAGATGAGAAGCCAAAAGGAGTGTTGTCTGGTACACAACTAGTGCACGGCTCGCGCAGAACTCCAGGGACCTTGCGGGTCAGCTGTTGGTTGTTTTGCCCGTAAGCTGCCCTGTCAGGACTGGACACCTGGACACACCTCCTCTTCAGCACGGGCTTACGCTGCTCACCATCCGAAATACCATACAAATGTCCCAGATGCTCCAGCGTCAACACGGCAGACTCTGCATTTTGCCGCAAGTGTGGTACACGGCGGCAAGAGGACTGGCACGTGAAAGATCGCCCTAACTCGCCGACATCCTTGGGGCAGCGCTCTCCTACTGCTCCTTGCTCGCGAAGCATCTCGCCACAAGCTGCATGTGTTGCTTCTCGTGTCGCCAGACGTGCTTCCACGAGGAGCTATGTGCTTCTGCAGCTTTGTGCGAGTGCTGTAAGTCTGGTGGGTTCTTTCTGAAGTTTGTTGTGATTTTTCCAGCACCGGTACGGTGTTTTTTGCTGTCTTTCAGCATGCCGACACTTCAAGCACACGGGCCGGAAAGGGTTCTCCTCGTTCGAGGCAGGTGCTTCGAACACGTTGCTCATTCGAAGGAGTGTAGCAAGTGAATCTGTCTCCCTCTCCTCCCGGCCCTCCTTCCCACCGTGTCCGCCCATTCCAGCACACGGCCGCAGAGTTTCCGGTCGGTTTCCAATGTGGCCGCACACTCCCGCACTTTCCGTATGTTGGGTTGGGCCAGGGCTGGAAGACTTCCGGGCTCCTCCCAAGCGAAATCTAGCTTCTCGACAGATTGCTAAGAGTCCCAAGCGAAATGCTGATTAGCTAAAATGCTGATTAGCTGCTTAGCTACTGCTGGTAGTATGCGACACAGTTTGCTGCAACACAAGCAAAGCCACCGTGAGGAGCACATCTGTTGGCCAGCGCAGCGTTCGGGCGACAGTCTCCCAACCGCAGAGCCCACGGTTGCACTCCGATAGGAGCCGCAAGAGGCACGAGCGACAAGGACTTCGAAGCAACTCCCAACAGGCGATCAGGCCCGGGCCCACACGGTCTTCATCACCGCGTCGGAAGGACCCATCGCGGCCACGCAGCTGTTGCCTCCATGGCCGCCAGCAGCTTCAACACCAGCCGCTTGAACGGGCGACGAAAGCACAAGCAGCACAGCTTCGACGGTCGGCTTCGGTGCCAAGAACTGCAGCCCGTCCAAAGCTGACACCTGCGGACCTCGTACGACTGCAGCGCGAGCTCCATGCTCAGATGGAAGCTTGGTTCAACACATGACCTGCCAAGCTTGTAATGTTTCGGAGTTGTCAGAGAAGTTGTCTGAAGTGACTGTCAGGAGATGGTCAGCAAGGCCTTGGCTACAAGACCGCCCGGACCACGTGCTCGTCCAGCAAAGCTGAGCGGGCGTCAGCTGAAGGAGCAGGCGGTTGAAACACCAAATTTCCGCTTCTGAGCCGCCAGGGCCAGGAACTGAGCGGCGCTCTGTTTTCAAGGCGGCTGTGTGCTGCCTGTCATGTTCGAAGACAAGGGGTTGGTTTAAAGACGGGCTGCTCATCTGGATTATTTGTGCCACTCACCTCATAACTTGGCATTGGGCAACACCACCTCGAGCCCTTGTCAAGTCATCTCAGAGTCTTCATCGTGTTCGAACGCATGCACAAGCTCAAACTTGATTGTGCAGGCGTTCCAGCACGTTGCTGGTTATATCTGAACTGAGATGCTGGTGGGGCACCCTCCATGCCGCCACCAAATGACCCAACGGCTGTGATGGGCAAGAGCTGCAAAAGCAGTTTTCTTGCGTCCATGCCTCAGAGGCCCAGCGCCTGCCGTGCAAAGAGCTGTGGGAGCGAAATAATTCACTTATGCAGTGATGCAGTCATACTGGCCTGCCAGCATGATTCTCCGGTGTGGCTGATCCACGTGCGCTCGAGAAAGCGTTTGATGGCCGTCTCGGCCAAAGTACCTGCCATCCCGTTCCTCAATCTTGGGCTTGGAGGCCCGATGCTTCAGGGCCGAAGCTCCGAAACACATGGCTGGCCTCGGATGACCAGGAGGGGTTGGGAGGTGGAGGCTTTGATGGCGATGATTGCGTCATCGCCCCGAAACCGGCGAGTGTCGCCGAGACCATCATAAGAACCTGAGCTAGCCGAGTGTTGCCTCCATCAAATCTTCAATTTGAGGCCTTGTGCCGCCTGGCCTGGGCACAGCTCTCAGCGCGGCAGGGCGTTGACTCCGAGCTTTGCCGCTTTCGCTTTCGCCAACTCGGTTCTGCAGTGGCTCCAGCAGCCGTCTAAGAGTCTACCAGTCTAACGCAAGTTCTTGGCACCAGGTCCGGCACGTCGCAGGCTGCGCAAGCCATGCCGCAGGCAATGCCAAAGGCAATGCTGCAGTCGCTGCCCCAATCACAATCAAGCAATGCTGCGAACTTCAGTACACCAGACCTGAGACCTTGGTTCGGATCCTCTTCGGTACAACCAAAGATTGGAGGGTCCCTGGAACAGGTTTTTAGGGTCAGTTTAAAAATTCGAAAACCCTGGACCGTCCCGGGGACACGTGGTGGCCGCCAAAGCACGCGTGTCCACACACATTACACATTGTGGCTGCCAAAGCACGTTTGTCCACACACACTGTGGCTGCCAAAGCACGTTTGTCCACACACATTGTGGCTGCCAAAGCACGTTTCATTGTGGCTGCCAAAGCACGTTTGTCTACACGCATTGTGGCCGCCAAAGCACGTTTGTTCACACATTGTGGCTGCCAACTCACGTTTGTCTACACGCATTGTGGCTGCGGAAGCACGTTTATTCACACATTGTGGCTGCCAAAGCACGTTTGTGCACACACACACACACACACACACTGTGGCTGCCAAAGCACGTTTGTCCACACACATTGTGGCTGTCAAAGCACGTTTGTCCACACACGCACTGTGGCTGCCAAAGCACGTTTGTCCACACACATTGTGGCTGCCAAAGCACGTTTCATTGTGGCTGCCAAAGCACGTTTGTCTACACGCATTGTGGCCGCCAAAGCACGTTTGTCCACACACATTGTGGCTGCCAAAGCACGTTTGTCCACACAAGTTGTGGCTGCCAAAGCACATCAAAGCACGTACATTGGGGTCGCCAGAGCACGTTTGTCCACACGCATTGTGGTCAGCAATGGTGGTCCTGTCCACATACATTGCGTTCGTCAAAGCACATCCTATGCAAAAAACCTGCGGACAAGTTGTGGACACGTTGCGGAAAAAGCGCCACAATGTGCGGACACGTTGCGGAAGAAGTGCGGACAATGTGCTGACAAGTTGTGGCAAAAGTGCGGACAACTTGCGGACAAAGTGATGACAAAGGCGGCAAAATCCATGTGGATACATGGCATTACATGGCTAAGGTTTAGACGTGTGAGGCTTGCTGCACCAAAACAAGACAGTTGTCCACAACTTATGTTCTGCAAAACCTCGTTTGTCCACACGACTTTGTCCAGAAAGTGGGACCTCAAACAAACGGTTGTCCACACATTCTTGTCAACAAGCGTCTGTCCACAAATTTTTGTCCACAAACTTTGTCCGCACGAAACTTCTTTCCACAAACTTTGTCCACACAATTTCGTCCACAAGAGCATTGTTGTCTACGAAAAAAGTGTTTTGATGTGGACCACCGGGCCTTTTTTTGCGGATCAACAAGGCGTTCTGCTGCGGACAACCTGGCCTTTTGATGCGTTTGAACAAGGCGTTTTGATGTGGGTTTCCCGACAGGGATGCCAATCAAAAAAGAACTTTTTTTCAATCAAAAAAAACTTTTTTCCAATCAATCAAAAAAAAACTTTCCCTTAAAAAGGAAGCACGACAGGAAGGAAGGAAGGAAGGAGGGAAGGCAGGAAGAAAGGCAGCAAGGAAGGATGGCAGGAGGGAAGGCAGGAAGGAAGGAAGGAAGGAAGGCGGGGAGAAAGAGCGAGGAAGGAAGGAAGGAAGGAAGGAAGGCAGGAAGCAAGGAAGGAAGCAAGGCAGCAAGGAAGGAAGGCAGGCAGGCAGACAGGAAGGAAGGCCGTACTACTACTACTGCTAACGCTACTACTACTACTACTACTACTATTATTACTATTACTATTACTATTACCATTACCATTACGATTACTATTACTATTACTATTACTATTACTACTACTACTACTATTACTATTACTATTACTATTACTATTACTATTACTATTACTATTACTATTACTATTACTATTACTATTATTATTACTATTACTATTACTATTATTATGACTATTATTATTACTATTACTATTATTATTACTATTACTATTACTATTACTATTACTATTACTATTATTATTGCTATTGCTATTACTATTACTATTACTATTACTATTATTATTACTATTACTATTACTATTACTATTACTATTTCTATTACTCTTACTCTTACTATTACTATTACTATTACTATTACTATTACTATTACTCTTACTATTACTACTACTACTACTACTACTACTACTACTACTACTACTACTACTACTACTACTACTACTACTACTACTACTACTACTACTACTACTACTACTACTACTACTACTACTACTACTACTACTACTACTACTACTACTACTACTACTACTAGTACTACTACTACTACTACTACTACTACTACTACTACTACTACTACTACTGCTACTGCTACTACTACTACTATTACTACTATTACTACTAGTACTACTACTACTACTACTACTACTACTACTACTACTACTACTACTACTACTACTACACATGGAGAAAGTTTTTTTTTGATTGGATTTTTTTTGATTGGTGAAAAAGTTTTTTTTTGATTTTCGCTGAAAGTTTTTTTTTGATTGAATTTTTTTTTGATGGGTTTCCCGACAACCTGGCCTTGGAATGTGGACAGCCGGGCCTTGGATACACTCGAAACAAGCCAGCGTAGGCCGCCCAAGCCCGAGTTTAGAAAACATGCCGCAGGGAGCCCCTAAACCAAAGATGCTGAAGAGCTAAATGTTGCAAATCGGTCGAGGTAAGTAGGTGTGTCGAACCGAACCTAGCAAAAGTGATGCGCGAACACAAGCTTCGTGCATCCGAAGCACTGTGACTGGTTACGGTTGCAAAATGATCGTTTGATTGGCGCTTCTTGCAACTAAAGCGGCTTGGGTTTGTCGAAGCCTGCGAAAGGGGAGTCTCACAGTTGACTGGTAAAAGCAGCAGTCTTCAAGATAGAACCAAGCAAGACAAAAACAGAAAACATGTTTTGAACACCAGTTGGCCAAAGCCCAACAGCAGTTTCCCATCAGGCCAGCCGTACACGGGATGCCAGTCCGCACCTTGGCAAGTGCAGCTACGCAGCGAGGTAAGGGAATTGCCTGACTTTGCCTGTGCTGGCAGGTGAGTCAAGTGCGTGCCCCCTGTGCTGCACCGGGGGCGCCTATGTTCGGGCCTTGTGTGATGGCTGTTTCAGAACAAAAACATGTGCGAAGCAAGGTCCTTAACGGGGACTTGGCAAAACGTTGCAGCTGGCACGATGCCATCGGTGCAGGCAAGGCAGGTCTTGCCGCAGCAAGCAAGAAACTGAGCACTGTTGTTGTTGTTGTTGTTGTTGTTGTTGTTGTTGTTGTTGTTGTTGTTGTTGTTGTGCTATGATGATCCATGATGCATGGCGTGCAATCGCCAATTTCAGGTGCCTTATGCGGCTGGCATGGGTGGACAGTTGCCCCCTGGAATGTCGCAGTCTTAGTTTGACGCTTCAAGCATCTGCCGAAGCTCCAAGTGTGCGTCGTGTCAGGTGGCCGCAAAACCCTTCAGCAGCTACGCCTCTCGAAAGCAGCTTCTGCTGACATAAGTGCATGCAGAGACACGCATGAAACAGAGGCCGGTCAGACTTTTGGCTGGCACACCTTCCCTGTTAGTTGCAAAAACGTGGCAGCGAACACCGAAGTTGGTAACGATCGGTTGTGCCAGGCGCATCTCCTGACATTGTCTTCAATCCTGGGGACAAGGCGCAGCGGCGCAGACGAAGAGTGTTGTTGAGAACGCCACCTCGACACTTTCTTGCACGGCTGGATCCCTGCAAAAGTGCTTGTTTAGTGAGCTGCAGGTGCAGTTGAGAGGACACGCTGCGAATCCCGACTACGAGGGCAAAATCTACACCGTGGAGGATGCTTGGGCTGGGCTCGCTGGGCTACGCTGCTGACCAGGCCTTCGTGAATTTCGTTGCTGCATGCCAGGGGCAGGACGAACTCGGAGTGGTGCAGGCTCACATCTCAGTTGTCGAGCCTCACCAAGAAAGCGTTATTTGTTGCAGGAATGCCCCGCCCGTAATTGTATTTTAACTTCAGCAACACGCGGCAGAAGTGCAGCAAATGCACGGTCTTCAATCTTGAGCATCGCTGGGGGATGACCTTTCGACAGGTCCTTGCACTCGGCAAGCCTACAAGCTTTTGCGCAATGTAGAGTGGTCAAGCATGCTGACACGTTGGTAGAAGTTGCCACCAAGTGAAAAAATCCTGCTGCAAAGTGCCGAACTATGATGACACACTGGAAGTCCGTTGGCCAGAGTTAGCCCGAACAAGCTTGAGTCGAGAAGGTCACGCACAAGGTGATGGAGAACGCTGTGTCGAGGATTGCATATCCCCGCGGGTATTCCCGGTTGGTGCAAACGAAAAGGGAAGCAGCCTGCGCTCGTAGGATGTGCTTCAACGCAGCTCACCTGGAGCTAGTCACTGCTGTGGGTGACCTGCCGCCCCAGGCCTTTTCCACCTGTCTGCTCTGCTCTGCAAGCGATGTGTCTGTGTTCTTGATGTTCTTGTGAAGGAGCCAGCGGTTGCTCCTGAGACTGAGGCCCGCTTAGTACTTTTTTGCTTGGGCACGTACAGACAGCTGAGATGTGGCACGAGGATGCTCTGTGCTCCGGACTGAAGGTTGGTGACACCGTACGGGGCTTGGCAGTCAACGCGCTAGGCTTCCACGTCACCATAGCATGTTACAGGTGCAGATCTCTGGGCTTGGCCATCATGATGGTCGGTTTCACACTTGGCTTGGCGCCGCAAATGTCATTTCTTGAAAGAGCTGCTCTTGAAGTGCTGGCAGGTTGTGCACGGTGGTCTCGGCAGACGACAGGCAGGGCAGAACGAGTATTTGCCACAGCTCACATAGAGACGTGATCTGGACTGCGACTACTACTGTCAGTGCTTCTGATGAAGTCCAGTGAAGCCGACTGTTTGCCAGAACTTGGTGGGGGGCTTTCAACAGTCAGTGGATGTGCAGCAACGGCTGGTGTCGCTTCTGTGAGGCAGGCGATTATGCGGGTGAAGTTCGTAGACTGCCAAGACATGCTTGAGCTTGCTCCGTCGTCAAGAGCTGAGATTTGTGTGGCTGGCATCCCTGTGATACAATGGCCCTCCGCTCTCGTCCAAGGTACCTCACACTCATAGAGCCTGCAAAGGCTGAATGCACAATCTCGCGACGCACGCGACGCGTGCATGTGTTCGCGTGTGGCATTTCAGGCTTCGTCCGTGGATGCTTCTGTGGAGAGAGTGGGCGTGGAGGCTCGGCGGTCCGCGGACGCTATGTTGAAATTCTCCGTGGACGGCAACCAACACTCATGCAGGGCGAGGGCGGCATAAAGGTTGGTGACCAGGCTCGCTCTGCAGAGCTGCGCGCTTTCAGCAGAGCAAGTCTAGACGCCCACAGGGTCCGACGGCCCGACCGAGTCTTCTGTCGCTTCGTATCGCTTCGGCATTGACCTCGGCACGTGAGTGTCCCGGAGGTGATCATTCTGGCACCACCACACCACAAAGGAAAGGCGGGGTTGTGGTGCTTAAGCCCTAAATAAAGTTGCTACGACTTAATGAGCTTGACGCCTTACAGCTGATTAAGCATACCAGCTTTTCCGCGTCGGACTGGCCCATCCATATCTGCGTTGCAACATCGTTCAGCAAAGTTCAGCAGAGCGAACCAGGCGTATCACACCAGAGGTAAATCTGCATTCCTAGCTGTGAGGTGCCAGCCAATTAGCAGGCAGCCCCCACGGGAAAACAGCAGGGACAAAACAGAACCACATGCCTTGGCTGCAAATCTTGCCCTCCGCCTTGCTCCCGTAAAAAAGAATCCTTTGTCGGCCTGTGGGTGAAGGATTGTCGTTCTATCTGGCTCGGAATGGGGCTGAAATGGGCTGAAAGAACCTATCGTTGCAAGATTCGATCGCTTGACTTGCTTTGCATGGCCAGCCTTTCAGCCCTTCTTGCCTACGTGGTTTGGGAGATGCCTCATCGAATGTAGGCTTGCAAAGGCATCTCACGACGTAAAGAACGGTGCCTTGTGAATAGAAGCCAAGAAAAAGAGGCAGGTGGATGTTTCGGCCGATCACACTTGTGCCTGGTAAGTGTGCACCTGAGGAGCAGGTCGCACCCAGAAGCTTGCCCCGTTTCAAGTCAGGTTGGTGTGGTCGAGGTTCCCGATCTGGGTGACGGATCGCTGCGAGTGCGAATGCAGGAGCTCTTGCCAAGCACATTTCGCCCAGCAAATTTCGCAACGCTTGCTTCGGTTGGTTGCGCCAAGCACGCGACTTGCTGTGCAGGGTCTTCGCGGTTGTTTCTTAGCTTCTGCGCAGGATCCTTCAGATTCAGCCGCCTGGCGAGAATGGAATAACTTCTGCTTCTTGCGAGCAGTCGGACGTCGGAGGAGTTGTTGGTCCACTTGTTCGGATCTAGTCACCCTGACGCAGGTCACCGTGCTGGTGTTAAGCCCGACGCATGTCCAGAATCCGGTCCTGCCCTGTGCGAAAGCTGAAGTCTGGATGGATGCCTACAAGTGGTTTGGTTTCATGGGCAGGATGGCACAGCCGTAGCGGGAACTGCTGATGCGGTGGCCTCGCGGCAAGCACAAGCAGATGCGATCCGCCAGGCAAGAGTTTGAAGGAGTGGTTGCTACAGTCAAGTCCTGCCCTCTCCATCCGCTCACTCCAGCCGCCCGCTCGCTGTCTGTGTGTTTCTCTGCATGATGTCAATGTATGTATCTACCTACAGATCTACCCGTTCATCAGTCTACCTATCTAATCTATCTACGAATCTACCTATCCGCCCTATATATTTCTACCTATCTACCCATCTGTTTATTTGTCAGTCAGTCTGTCTGTCTGACTGTCTGTCTATCTATCTGTCTATCTGAGGATATGTCCATGTGTGTCTATCTATTTACCTTTCTATCTATGCATCTATTTGTCTGTCTATCCATCTATGTCTCTGCCCTATGTCTGTCTGCCTCTCTGGCTATCTGTCTGTTTGTGTGGCTACCTACCTGCCCACCTACTTGCCCACTGCATACCTACCTAGCTCTGTATATATCTATCTGTCTGCCTATCCGTCTATCTATCTATCTCTGTAGTTGCGTCTATCTATAAGTCGCATTGACAGCTTAGCTTCTTATTTTTGGTGCAGTGAGCCACAGAACTTTGCATGGAGGATTGTTGACCGGAGGTCTGCTTTGGCTCAAGGCTCAAGACGGTGGACTGTCTCCCCTCCTTTGTGTAGCGCTCATCTGCATGCAGTGGGCAAGATGACAGAGGAGTGCTTCGTGCTACGAGACGATCCGAACCCGTTGCCCTCGCATTGTCCAGCAGTTGCGAGGAAGGTCCATTTCTTCGTGGAGCAGATACATATTTGTCGCAGTGTTCGACAGTGCTTCCTGCTTTGGCACTTTGTTTCATTATACATTGGGTTTCCCCTCCGTTTCTATGCACCATCTATGTTCGGCTGTCCACCCAAAATGATGATGGATAGCTTGGCACGCCTTCAAAACGTCGTGGAGGCAAAGGCCAAAGCGCACTCATGGGATTACATGAAGGACTGGAAGAAAGTGGTGGAAGCAGTGGCATGGAACGACGATGCGAACGTTCTTCCGTCTGCCAGGACGTCGGCCTTGTTGATGCACTACGCGGCAGGTGCGAGGGCGATGGAGGCTGCGGCGCCATTTGCCGATCTCCTTGCTTGCTTTGCAAAGCGCCAGGGCATGAGATTCGTGCATGACAAGACGGTTTACTTCAAGTCGAAGTGGTTGGGGTACAGCCTCGTTGGAATCTTGCCAGATGCCTATATTTTTGGGGCCAGTGCGAGGCTATTTGCATCTGACAATCATCCCTGGAGCCATCGCTCCGTAACTTCCAAGAGGTCACACTTTGCGCGTTGGAATCTCAGCGCATCAGCTCAGAACATGACAGATGCTGGTCGCGTTGCCGGGAGGTTTCTGCTGGAGATATTTCAAACTATATCGCAAGCCTCTCACCCAGACTGGCGGAGGGCGAGGGTCACTGCCGGCGCTGCCGAAAATCTGCTTGTCAAGCTAAGCAGCAAGACCGTGTGGAAACGCACGTTTGAGAGGCTCGGTGTTGTCAGCGGCCCTCCGATACGTTGGGTGAAGGCCTTTGCGATTCAGAAGGCACTGTCGAGTCACGAGGCGGTGGTCTATCTTGACTATGACATCACAGTTCGTCCTGATTGTTTGGGTGCAGCCCGGCTAATCCAGGACCTGTTCTCCAGTCAGACAAGTTTGCACACCCCCCATATTGTCGTACGAGACAGCGCTCCTGGCACAGACTGCATGAACACTGGCTTTATAGCCATGCGGAAAACTGAAATCTCGAAGATTTTCTTGAAGCTGTGGAGATCGAAGATGGGCTGGCCAGGAGCTCTTCACGGAGATCAAGGTCCACTGGCAGAGACGATTTTGCAGTTGCTGGACATGGAGAGACGAGCCGAGCAAATTCAGCAGGGGGTCAGGTTAACTGAAACCAATGGCTACGAGAGTGTTTGTTTGCCGATGCTCTTTCCCACCTGGGACGGCGTGTCAAGCTGGCGCCAGTATTGTGACTGTTGGCAGCAAGTTCTGTTGCTCCAAGTCGGCCCTTTTCAGAACAGAACTTCGCGATTCATTAAGTTCTTGGATCCGCGGAAGATTGATGTGAACTTTGTACCACAGCATGTGTACGACTTGCAGGGAATGCGTCTTTTGCCCTGGCGGCTGAACAAGCAGGTTTCCCGTTTGGGTTCAAACAGTTCGATATTGCTTCCAGAGATTACTCCTCTGCTTGTGCACTGGGCGGGCATGGAAAACCGGACGAAACTAATGCGCGACTATCTTGTACAAAGATTTGGGGTAAAACCTACTTGGTTCACTTCAAAAGAATCGTCTGAACGCTGCACTGCTCTTGCAGCGATCAGCCCGCGTGTGAACAGCAAGTGCTCTCAAGGTTCCATGGGTTCAAGTATTGAGCACGTCTTCGAGGATTGGGAAGGGCGAGACGACGCGACGACTGATGATCAGAAGACGGAGGCCACGTTTGCTGCTGCATTGATCACAGGCGAGCTTCCCGACAAGACCAGCGATACTCATACGGTTTCCGCGCGCTTCAGGGATGACCTGCTGACACTTCTGGGTGGGCAAAATGTGACCCGTGACATGACTGTGCTGGAGCTGGGGTCATACTTTGGCTACACCACAAGCTTTCTGGCCAATGGATTTCGATTTGTTCTAGCGGTAGACTCGCGGTTGAATTGTGTAAAGCATGCTACGGAGCTGCTGGTGGCTCGCAGCCAGCAGGGCAAGTCTCGTGTGTTGCTGGTGAACACGTTGGCAGATGACTTGTCAGAAGTTGCTGGAGTCGCGAAAGCAAATGGTGGTATAGATGTGGTCTTTATAGACGGAGACCACTCCTTCAGAGGTGTCGTGAACGACATTGGCCTGGCCCTGCATGGACAACTGGGCACTTCGAAGTGCGGTTTCCGCCCACGTTACATTGTCCTCGACGATTTCTACGCACGGGCCACAGTGCGCCAGGCTTTCGTGGAATTTGAGAAGCTGGGATCGCTGCGAAGGGTGGGCGACTTGGGCCATCTGGAGGGAGTCTTATGTCAAGTTGTCCCGACGTCTAGCTGCTTCAGTTCAGCGCACGTGCGCAGCTAGCCACTTGACATGGCTCTGCCCTGTGCGTATCCAGACCGCAAACGATGGTTGAAGCTCGGAGCCGGGATGTGTTTCCACTGTGCAAAGCTTGCCACCCCAGACTGCGATCCGGCTGCCACTGCGCTTTGTGATCAGGCTGCTGCTGTACCATCGCATGCGCAGACTGCTGCTGCCTCTGCTGCCCCACTGGCAGCAGCGCCGGGCTCTCGGCCATCCGACCCTTCGTGGAGACTCGTGAGCTGTTTTTTGGCAACACGCTGGTAAGCTGTTAACGCTTGCTTTCTTCGTGGATTGCACATGCAAATCTAAACTTCGCAAAGCATGTCATGTGATTCATGGTACGACGAGTGGGGGTTCACGCTGGTTTGGTTGATGCATGTAGCAGATCAGATCCCAGCAGCGAGAAATCGACAGCCTACAGACCGTCGTGCGCGTAGCATCCCTGATCGTCCAGACAGAATCAGCCAGAGATTTCAACCCAGGACGGCAACAGTCACAACAGGCAGGGCAAAAACTAACATGTTCGTCTTCTCTGGCCATAAACGCTAGGTGAGGTGTGTTCGTTGTCTCACATCCACAGCGAAGCAGCAGTTCCAACAGCTGGTCCATCGATCCTTGCAAAGGCTGCGAGATCACGCACATCCGGTTCATGATCGCAATAAAATTCCATGTGAACCCATGTTTTTATTGGGGTGTGATTTGATCGTGGTGAGGAAAAACGCGCGGATCAGCGCCTACCCGGTGCTAAATCATTTCGGAACCGGACGTGGCATCCATGCAAGCATCAGCCGGTTGAGCGTCCACACCGTGGCTACTCGTTTCGGAACCTTTCCAATTTGGAACCACAGACATGGCACGCCTTCACGCTTCAGACTCGGGAACGCTCACCCGCTGACATAACGTTGTTGAAGGAGGCCGATTGTCTTGTGATGTTTAACTTTTTTTGGGGTGGCTGGGGACGGACAGGAGGAATGAAGAAGGGAAGGCAAGAAGAAGAAGAGACACTAGGTCAGAGACGGAACCTGAACCCTAGAATTTATCGTTAGCTGTTTTTGTTTTTGTGTTGTCTGTGTTTTTGTGTTGTCCGTGTCTTGTTTCCTTCCCCACCCACTCAGTGGATATGGTTGTGATTCGCCGGTTAAACCACGTTAGTATCATCCGCCCTATCGGGTTTCTTAAATGTAATCACGGGGATGGCTTAATGAGAGGGCGGTGATGAATCGGGATCGCCACAAGAGGAGGCCAAATGAAGAGGATGAGGCGGAATTGTTAAACGAGGGGGCGCATTAAAGATATGTGATGAACCGGAATTGCCAAATCAGGGAGCGTGCTTAAGATATGAAAAACCTGGAATTGCCAATTGAGGGGGCGTGTCTAAGATGCATGATGCACCGGAATTTCCAAATGAGGGGGCATATTTAAGATGCATGACGAACCGGAATCGAGATCGGGGGGTCAAGATATATGATGCAGCGGAATTGCCAAATGAGGCGTAAGATCTATGATGAAGCGGAATCGCTAAATCAGGGGACGGATATATGATGAACCGGAATCGCCACATGAAGCGGCGTACTAAAGGTAAAAAGTGAACCCCAAAAAGTTGGAGCATGAATTTAGGATGATTAGCGCTGCGATTCCCCATTCTTTACCTTAAGGGCATGAGGATATTCATGTTCCAACTTTCTGGCTTCTACTATATGATGAACCGGAAGCGCAATATCAGGGTTTGAGATATATGATGCACCGGAGGGGCCTGTTTAAAGTGTATGATGAACCGGAGTTGCCAAATGGGCGATCGTCCTTAACATATGTGATGAACCCGGACTCGCCAAATGAGCGGGCATGCCGAAGACTCGAAGATATGTGATGAAGCGGCCTCGCCAAATGAGCGGGCGTGTTTAAGATATATGATGAACCAGAATCGCCAAATGAGAGGGCGCGTCCAGAAGACGACTACCACCACCACTGCTACTACTACTACTACTACCACCACCACCACCACGACTACTACTACTACTACTACTACTACTCGTACTACTACTCGTACTACTACTCGTACTACTACTCGTACTACAACTCGTACTACTACTCGTACTACAACTCGTACTACTACTCGTACTACTACTCGTACTACTACTACTACTACTACTACTACTACTACTACTACTACTACTACTACTACTACTACTACTACTACTACTACTACTACACTACTACCACGACTACGACTACGACTACGACTACGACTACGACTACGACTACGACTACGACTACGACTACGACTACGACTACGACTACGACTACGACTACGACGGCGACTACTACTACTACTACTACTACTGCTACTGCTATTACTACTACTACTACTACTACTACTACTACTACTACTACTACTACTACTACTACTTCTGCTACTTCTACTACTTCTACCAGCTACGATTTTGTTTGGTTGATGTAAAGAGTCGGTTACGGAGTGTCGAAGTCGCTAATGCAGAAATCCGCAGGTTATGTCATGTCTGCTTAGGCCTGGAGACCGCGTTCGGGTGAAACAATCTTTGCCAGCACACGCGGGAAAGGCTCGCGTGATGCGGGTCCGTTGGAGACGGAGTGCTGGAGACTTCGCTCTTGAATATTTGTCTCTCAACCTACTGTCACGATCTTGTAGGTTGGCACTGTAGAAGCTGACAACGATGGTTCTGGATGCTGCTTCGTGCTGCAGCGAACTTGGAGCTTGTTTCCAAACTCAAAGCATGCTGAAAACACCTCCAACATGCTGTGGAAAGGTTTGCAGATGATGGGGGCCGAGCACTCAGAGGAAGTGAGAAGCAAAGGCAGCCGCTGGTGGCCTGGTGTTATCATAAGGTGCTACGAGATTGCGCATCAATCCCGTTCACCTGGATCCGGCCTAGAAACACGCAAGGCATCGTCTCGTCTTTGTCAGTTACCAGTGTCCATCATCTGCTGCCCTGGCATTCCGGCATGTTCGTGGTTCAGAGTGCGTAACTTGCTTGCAGGCTGGTGCTGAGCCAGCGCGTGAGACACCTTTAGTTTTTTGCAATTTGTGACGGACGAACTTGCGAGAGCGTGCAGGGCTTCATCAAACCTATCGACCGACTTGCCCAAACACGGGATCAGTAAAGTGTTCACTGCACGTTGGACTGCCGAACAGACGATTCTGAAAATCAGCCTCTCGCAAGAGTACGATCGCCTGGCCTCGAGATTGAAGGGAGGTGAAAGCCAATGAACTCGTGGGCATGGGAAAACTGTGATGCACATGCTGCTGCAAACGAACATAGTGCGGAGATTCCGAGGATGGTAGCACTTGCTTCATGTTGCTTCGAGCCATTTGCTGACGGCTTTGCTTATACTGCTGTGGAATTTTTGGGTGAGCAATTAGCAGCACTCGTGGAAGATGCGTCTTTTTCTTCCATAGACTCAGACAGTCGAGAAGTGAGGTTCATGAACAACCGTTTAAAGGGTCCATGCTTAACTTACTGTCTTACTGTTACTTTTACCGTGGCCCATCATGGAGCCGGCCCGTGGATCTACGGTCACCTCCCGGGTTTCTGCGCGGCCTTCGACAGTGATGCCTCCAAGGAGCGCCGGCTTGAGCTCGAGCAGCGCCGCTGGCAGCGCCGCCGGCAGCGCCGGGAGCTTTTCCTTCAGCCCGGCGGTCGCTGTAGCAGGTTTGACTGCTGCGGCCTTGGCAAGACGTTCAGGCCGGCAACACGTGCAACGTCAAGGAACCATAGCCACGCAGCCTGGAGATAGTGAGACGCCAAGTAATGCAATTGAGGAGTGGTTGTTAAGCCTGGAGTTGCCAACTCCTTTGAAGCCCGTTTTGGGCAGTTCGGCCTGGGCCAGTTTCGCTGCGTCGCTTGTGCAGATGTTCGTCGTTGCAGGGTTGTCCGCGGTGGGCACCTTCATCGAGCAAGGAGAATCCGCGACCTTCTATGCACAGAAATATCCTGAAACCTCAGGGGTTATTCTGGCCTTAGGTTTCGACCACATGTACAGCTGCCCTCTTTTCTTGGGATTGCTTGCTTGGCTGGCTGCATCGCTCATTGCTTGCACTGCCACCACACAGCTGCCGCTGGCGAAGAAAGCGCAGAGATTCAATTTCCATTCGTCTGCAGCAATGAAGCGCAGAGGCTCGTTTCTAATGCGTATCAACTGCCCCATGGCAGAAAATGACGAGCTGGGCACAACCGACAAGCTGCACCAGTTGAGGGGCGAGTTAAGGAAGCGGGGGTTCATTGTTCGCTCCGATGATGAAGACGAGCCAACCCAGCTAGCAGCCTCACGAGGTTTGCTGGGAAAGTTTGCTCCGATGGTCGTGCATCTCGCTCTACTTCTAAGCCTTGCCGGCAACGTGGTGGGCCTGGTTTTCGGTGCTTCCAGCGAGGTGATGATTGAAGACGGAGGCGCTGCGGATCTTGGCCGGGTTCTGGAAGCCGGCCGCAGGGCCAAAGGCCCTTTATACGACTTCCTGAGCCCGACCAAGAATCTCATGGATGCCATCGATGTCAAAGTGGAGGACTTCCGCATCGAGCGGCTTTCCAGAAAAGCTTATTTCAAACCTCCCCCTGTAAACTTCAATCAGTTTGGTGGAAATCAGGTACAAGGACGATGGAACGATTGATCAGTTCTTCTCGAAACTCGCCATCGAAGACTCCAAGACGAGAGAGCGACTATACAGCTGCCTGACTGATCAACCCCAGCTTCGGCTGAGCCACCTGCCCTTCACTCGTAATACTGATAATACTGCTGACTGCATCAGCACAACCTCCGCTCAGATAGTATGGATTCGTAAGGCGACGAAATTTTCGTGAACAAGCCGTTGCGTTTCGGAGGGGGTACGTCTACCCGGCCTGGTTGACGGTTGACATGGAGCTGAGATGTATTTCGGGTCCGTTTCTCGGCACGCGGCAGGATCTACCAAGCAGACTGGGGCATTGACAGGCTACAAATGTGCTCCATGTTTGTCAAGCCTATGAAGCAACAATGTTTCGACATACATGCAGCACTCTCAATTTTTCTTTCGAATCTTTGAGTTGTTCCTCACAGACGGTTTAAGCTGTCAGCAAGTTCAACTGGGCGGGGAGGTACCTGAACGGTTATCCCATCGTGGTTCCGTGCAAGAGTCTGCCACCCGAGAAAGGAGAGCGATCGCATCCCTGGCTGTGTTGTTTGGCAAGCACTTCCTCTGAGCGGTGTGCTGACGTCATCAATCTTGTCAGGTGGGCGGCGTTTCTTCCGCTGGAACTTGTGACAGCCGAGGCAAATCAATGCACTGTGAAACATGAATCCAAATCAGATCTAGGACTTCCTGGGTTTAGCGATAGCAAGGTCCACCTGAAGCGAGTGTACTGACCTACAAAGACCAATAACCAGTGCTGGAGCCAGAATCAACACAGGACACAACCAGCAAACCCTCCAGAAGACATCACAAGCTCTCAAAGTCGTGTTCGGAAGACAACAGAGGTTCCAGGATTCCCGGGCATGCTACAAGAAACTAATATCCTGCCCGGACATTCGTCGACGTGTTGCGCAAGCCTTTCGAGTTGGCAACCGGGCACCATTTCTAGAGCATGGCAGACCTGTTGATCTTCGTGCTGTCTTCAGCTTCGAGTGTCCCACCGGGTCAGCCTTCGATTCTTGTCGCGGTGCACTGATCCTCTCGGGCAACAGTTCCGCACGAATTCAGGGTGAACCTGCTGGAAAATGGTGGTCAGCGTGGGTGGTCTCGACAGACACACAGCTTGACGGAGTTAGGTCATCCCGTGCAGCTCCGTTGCTTTCAGAAACGTACATTCGCCAGAACCCCACGACTGTGAAGCAGATCACGAAGCCAAAAGAAGGTCGGCACCCTGGTCGGCACACCTTGTGCGTAAAGGTATGAGTCCCCATGCGAGCTTGATGAACCCGGCCATGCAGCATTCTGAGGAATCGTCCTAGTTCTGAACAACATGCGCAATGTCCAGGCCTGTCGGCAGAAAACATCTGAGCAAAAACTGCGTGTTGTTTTTATGCCTTGGTACGTGACTTTGCAGGTTTATGGATCCGACAAGACCCTGGCAGGGGTTCTTCGATCTCCAATGGCTAAGGCCTTCTGCAAAGTGGCACAGCACTTCACCTGCGCTTTCAGAAGGATGTGCTCGGGTGTGAATCTGGAGGTGGAGAAGAAGATGGAAGGCATGCCAATCCAGTTTGGTGAGGTTCGCCGGACTCGCCGTTATGCCCTGTCTAGCCTTTCGCTTCCAGTTTTAGGATCCGGGCCATTTCCCCGTGCTTCAGGAGATCACTGTTGAAGGCAAAACCAAGCTACGGTTAGACAAGATCGTCGGCTCCACCGGCCTAATCGCCTGACTTCCAGATGTGGATGTGGCTCTCTGTGTTCACCACTTGTTGAATACGTGTCTTCAGGTCAAGAACGACCCAGGCGTGCCTCTAGTGTATACTGGCAGTGGACTCAATGCTGGGCAGCACCTGGGGATCCAAGCAACTTGACTTTGCCTCGTCTGAATTCAGTCGACGACGAGGTTATGCACTGCTCATGCCTGCCACGCTTCTGAGCGTATTACCCTTCGTGCAGGCGAGCAGCCTGAAGAAGGAATATTGCTTACAGACGGCTTCTGAACAGATTGCCATTCGTTTTCGTGAGCAGGTTTGGGTGGCAGTAAACAAGGATGACCGCAACCAGCAGCGCCGGCGCAATTTCCTTTTCCGCGGAGAAGATAAGTGGGTCTTCGGAACGACTGCAGTTTCATGTGCGTTCTGAAGGATCTTAGTCAGCGGCCGCGCGAACCGGAATCAGCTCTCCTTCGAGGCTTGACTTTTGGTGCACAGCTCGGATGTTTTCTGCAGCGGCAGCAACATGCTCCGTCCAGGACGAAATGAAAGCTGCCGTCTTGTCCGTGGCAACTTCCTGAAACCGTGGCGAACATGACGAATACCAAAGCCAAGATAGCAGAACTGGAATGAATGTAAAGCTCTTATGTCTCCAGATTGCTATCCACTCCTCTTGACAGCCATAAAGCCGCGATGGGTCGGTGGTGCGATGCAACGCAGTTGTGGACTGCAATTTTCGACTCCCAGACTCGACCCGTCCAGACCCTGCCAGAATGTCGTCGAGCAGCTACTAAAAAGGCTCGTCTCGGCGCTCTGAGCTCTGACAGGTTCTGTAGACTAGCTGACCTGCTGCCCTGTAATGGGTCCTGGTGGGGCATTCGCCACAATTGCAGCATCGACCTTACCAAGGGGCTGCCCGACACGGAAACGGCACAGCAGCGACATCTGCAGGATGTGTGGTGACGTAGGTCGCAGATACTTCATCTAGCTCAAGTGGTTCATTAGCTCAAGTAATGGATACGTCCCAAGTAGTTAGCTTGGCCTAGAACGGACTGTCGGAGATGGCAATGGCGCGGCATCTGCCAATGCCTCGGGTCTGTCGGAGACGGGCGCTTTGCCGCGCTTTGCTTGGAGAGTCGGAGTCAGGCCCGGCCTTCTCGGCAGCAAAGCAGATTCCAAGGAGGCCACGGGTTCCCACGGTTTCTGTGACAGAGCAGTGTCTCGAAAGTGCAACGGCCAAGGGCTGTCAGCTCAGCACGCCATTCAGCCCTATGGAGTTGCAGACAGCACTGGCCGGCAGTTGCAGCTTCCATTATCTGCTGAGTTCTCCTAAATGAGTCGGCCTCGCTCCACAGCTTCTGTGCCTGGTCAGTCTTGAAATCTATGCTTTGATACCGCAGTGACGCTGTAACGGCGACTTTGCCAACACAATTTCGCACATTCCCCACTTTAAGGTGGCCTTTGTAAGCTGCCGATCTATGGCTGTAAGGAATGCCTCACTTTTTTTGAGCCAGCCATGTGTAGATATGGAGCCCGTGAACAAGGGGGAGGGGTGCAAGAGGGAGGGGTTTGGGACGGATTCTGCAGACTCTGGAGAAACCACCCACCTTTGCGATTCCGTGGGGTAGGAGGCTGGTCGGCTCGGGGAGGAACCCGAGCATGGATTCGTTTACTTCGCAAGCTTTCCTCCGAGGCCGAGGCTCTTTAGGTCTGTCGTTGGAAAAGAAGTTCGGATCTGGCCTCACAGAGCCCTGCAATGCTTCGGCTTTATGGAGCAGCGGCAAGACAACTTGCCGGGACGAGATCCAGTGTCAGCACTGAGTTCAGAGCCCTTGTCGCTTGCCTGTCACTTTCACAAGCAGTGCCATGTCTGTTGTGTCAGTGTGTTGTAGTGTTGTAGTCTGGGCCACGGTTTAGGAACCGGAGTTCAAGTTGAAAGTTCAGCCGCTTGAGCCGCTAGTTCTGTGAGCCGCGAGAGCTGTGTTTGAGTTCTGCCTTTTTGGGGCTGCGAAGGCGCCCAGCCGCTCGCGCCTGCCTCGAGGAGCTGCAGAGCAAGGCGGGAGCGGCGAAGTTGGGATCTTCTCGCCTAGTCCTAGTATGTCCTAGTGCTTCTAGTGCTACTTGATTCCACTTTCTATCTAGTGACTTTGTGCTTCCTAGCATGGCTTGACATGTTCGCACCGAGGCATAGACTGAATTTGCAATGATCACCAGGAGTCGCAGTCAAAAGTAACCACAGTCGTGCTTGTGCTGTGAATTCGGTCGCGCGTGGCTCAGTCCATCTCAGCCTCGCGCACTTGCAAAACTGTGCTGCAGACGTGGCGTGACTGGCGGATGAGTGCTAGATTTAACTAGTTCCATACCTGCTTCTCAACGGCTGATATACGTTATCGTAAGCGCCTTGTTGGCCTCCTTGGCGTTATCCAGGCGCTCTTTCTGCACCGCCTTGGCACCTCGCTCTGCGACGCCGCTTTGCGGGCTTGGCTGTGCCGGCGAGAGCCCAAGTAACCAAAGCATGCCAAAGCCATACCGAGGCCCCAGCCTCGTGCCATCTCATGCCCGTGCCGGCAATATCCCACAACTTCGGTTGTTCGAGACAAGAACTTCTCACGGCATCTCACGGCCAAAGTCTGACATCACTCGGAGCCTTCTGCAGGCCAACTCTTTCCACGCTTGTGGCGAGACGTCGCAGAAACGTTCTGGTGAGGAGTCGCCCAGCGGTGCTTCGAGGCGATTCCGGCACGGCGGCATGTTTTTTCTTCGAGGCGTCTCTTTGCTCTTGTGACAGATGGCGTACCCACCGGAGTGCTATGCTTGCAGTCAAAGACGAGGACCGAGCCGTCTCGCAGTTTTTGGAAGGGTCGGTCAGGCGGTCGGGCGATGCTGTGAGGAGTTTGAGATCGCTGTGCAGCTTGCGGCCTATTACGTGGCAGACGCGACTGAGGGCCGCCTTGACAATGGCCTTGCATCGAACTTCAAATCCGGGAATAAGCGAAAGCTATACTGTTGTTTGGTGCAGACCCACATCGCTTGGCATGCCGCTCGCCCAAACTCAGTGGTGACTCTTGCCAGGCATACACTGCACCCGTCTGCGTAGCTCGTTCTTTGCCGGAGGTCATGGTCATGGCGGCGTGCGTGCTCCACTCTCTTCTCATCATCCTCGAGCCTCCTCCAGGACAAAGCTGCGCCCGTGGCAGCCCGGACTGATTCAGGTTCTGCTAAGACTTGAGAAGCAGTTGAAGTGATTTCTGAACGCTCACTTCATGATTGCTAGGCTGGGAGAACGTTGCCGAACTCTTTCTGGTCCTGATCTATGTAGCTGACATCTTGCTGAAGGTGTGCGCCTCGTAGATGTGGTGAACACGTTCGTAGGAGCACGCACAATCGTCTGTGAAGAACGGCTCTGATGAGTCTGCGGAGACTGGGAGAATAGAGTCCGGAAGGCGTGTCGCCCCTTCCACGAGGCATAAGACAGACAAAGAACATAAAACAAGTTGGGAACTGAAGAGGGGCCGACGTGTCCATCGCATCCCGGCATGGTTCTGGATTGATCGGGGTTCGTAATCTCGGAAGCAAAATTTCTGCGAGATCTCAGACGAGACCTGACAATTCCCAGCTTTGTGACATGTCTGTGAGCATTTCATCTTGTCGCCGCATGTTGGCCTGACTGATGCGAAGACTGCTACCCCAAGCTCGCCGGAGCTGAAAGTTCGCGGGCACAAAGCCATCCAGCTTGAAGGAGTCTCTGTGAAATTGATGCTTGAGAAGCCACTCGCTGGGACTGCGCTGGGAGCTTCGGACATCTCTGCAGCTGCACTGCGTAAGACCAGCCCCCCAGCTTGCTTTTGCCCACTGGCCAGGTCGCGTACATGGGCGCGGGAACTTTCCTGTCGCTCCGAGGTTCCAAGGCCCAGCGCCGAGCTCCATTTCTCTTGCCACTGTTGCGGCCTGTTGCCGCCGTCCGCATCCGTCCACCCAGATCTGGCAAACCACCTACGCGGCCCTGACGGGCATCCTTTTTCTCGACGCTGCGCTCGCGCCATGCACCAGACTGTCGCGACCCTTGCGGCCAATCATGCTCGTGCTACGCCCAGACCTCAGACATCGGCAAGCGACTCAGTACTGCTTTGGCTTTGCGACTTGTGAAGCGCAGGATCCCGGAGTGTCCGGAACTTTTACACCACAGTGCTCCGCATTTGTCCAAGCCTCTTGAAGGTCTTGATGCTGTGGCTTCGTAGCATTTCGGCAGGATCCTTCAAGTCCAGAGGTTCCGTCGGTTCCGTCGGTTTCGTTTCCTTGAGGTTGCTGTTTATCTTGACAGCGTCGTCGCTTGGAATGGCCCGGCTGCTGCGTGGCAGCGGGACACGCTACTTCACAAGCTCCTTGGCCACCTTCCAGGAAATGGCCATACTGCTGCTGACCCAGGAGCACAGCCTGCACAGCCTGCACAGCCTGCACAGCCTGCACAGCAACACAGCTTTCCCAGAGTCAGATGCCAGCAGCTCAAGAGCCGCAGAGCCGCCTGTCAGGACAACTACAAGGTCTCTTGGCCCGATTTTAGGCCCTGTTTCGTGGCTTCCGTGAGCGTTCGCTCTGATCAGGATCTCCTGCATGATCTGAGCGATCATGGAGGGCTGGCATCGCTCCTGGTCTTTTTCACCTTTGTGGTTGTTGGTGTCTTATTTCTGATGCAGTCCCCCGGCAGACATACAAATGCAACACCGCAACGCCAATTAGTGTCCAGACTGTCAAAGAGCTTTTTCTGCTTTTGCTGAGACAGGTTGGTGCTCGGGACGGTCATCGACACTTACATGGAGGAGGCGCAAGAAGAGCTGCGAAGCAAGCGGGTGAAGCAAGCGAAAGGCCGGGTTTCCAGCTATCCTTGGGCATGCATTGATTGGTATATTGGCATTATGCCACGTGCCTTTCTGGTCATTGGAAAGCCAATTGCTGCCCCTCAGAGGTCTGATGCGAGCCTTCTCGGTTTTGGACCTGCGCAAAGAAGGAGTTTAAGCCCCGTTCTACAAGTTGCAACGAACAACACAGTGAACGCTTGTGCGCTGATTCTGAATTTCTCCGCCTGCTCGAGGACACCTGCGCCAGAGAGCTTTCGACCGCCTCATCCAGAAGTTGCGGCCATCTGATTCACCCTTCGAAAGGCACTTGAAGTTTAGCCGCTTGGCCTTTGCCCAAATTCACGAACTCCGTGTAGGTGCGTCGAGCTGCATTCATCAGTCACTGACATCGTGCTCTCTTGATTGAAGGCTTGCTCTCCAACAAGTACAAGTCGATGGTGCCCGCAAGTTCAGGTCCTTCAACCCCTGCACGCAGTCGGGAGGACAACAACACCTGTGATTCTTCAGTTGCATTGGAGCAGGCTCAGTCAACGGCACAACCGAGCTATGCTGAGCCCTTTTCTCAGAATATATCATCTATCATATCCAGGGCCCCTAAGAGTCGCAAGTTTCCACATCGTTGTTCGAGGTGCTGAGAGCAAGCGTAGACAGAGGGATTAAGTACGAACGCAAGGCAAAAGTGTTTTGACATAGTTGTTATTGATGGGTTTTGCTGATTAGTTTCTTGCAGAGCCGGCTAGAGTCGGCGGTTCTGTAAGCTGCCCTGCGGCGTATCTGATGCCGTAGCAACAGCCTCTCTTAAGACAGAGATGTGCGTGCAGGAGCTTTCTCCCTTAGCACACCCGCCCTCGCCACCGAAGCGGCCGATGATTCCACTTCTGCCTCAGTTGCCAGAATCGCCTCTCCCCTTCCAGGCAGGAGTCCTGGTGTCCGGGTGTCAGCAGCCAAGCATCCGGGTATTTCGACTCAAGGAGCCCACGAGCGGCCCCTGGACCAATCCCGAGCCCAACATTGATCCCATCGACTTCCTGTCGCTGCACACGGCAGCACGGTCCAAAGCAGCACATTCGGGCTGAAGCGAATGAATGGGACAGCGAGGTCTTGGAACTAACCTTCAAGCCTCGGCGCCCGGCCTGGGATGTCCCTGGCGTCTGCCGCGAGCAGCCTTGGCCCGGCCCCCAACCTCGCCACGGCCGTCTCCCTGCCCACGCCCAATTCCCAGGTGGAGCCGTGGTGCCGAGCGACTCCTATCAGATCCCCGTGCCTCCTCTCGAAGAGTGCGCTAGATTCCACGTGTCTCCAAAAGATGCGGTTCTTTCATACTCAGGCTACATGGTGCTTGTGCGTTATCTGCTGTGGGCCGATGCTGCAGTTTTCTTGGCTGATGCTGAATGCATCGAGCCACTAGCATCACTTGGATGCTGCCTGCAAGTGAATGCGACTTGGTCGCACTTGGCGGATGCTGCCAGTGCATGGACATACAGCAAGAGCCACATGATCCACAGTCGGACATAGACGAAAGACACCCTGGCAACAGCAACAGCTGTACACGGACGAGGACTTGCTCCAGACCGCATTCCTGTTGCAGATGGCCATTCAGGACGGGAGTCTCACATCACTGCTCAGCTATGGTGGTGTGTTCTCGCTGCAGATCCTGCGGGTCTTCGATCCGAATCCTGATGCCAGGTATTTGCTTTGGGCAGTCTGCGGAAAGCCTGGCGCTTCGGTGGTTCTTCGGACACCCGGATACTTCTCCGGGCAGAGCTAGTTCTAGCCGCTCAGTCGCACATTCTTTTTCTTTCCCTCCGGCCGTTTGTGTGCCGGTTTGTTTGGCTTTCGCCTCACTGTTTTTGCTTCACCCTCGCTTTGACACTCTGTGGTTCTCAGGGTCGCGTGCTCGTGCTGCTTTCTCTCTTTCTCTCTTTCTCTCTGTCTGTCTGTCTGTCTGTCTGTCTGTGTCTGTCTGTGTCTGTCTGTGTCTGTCTGTGTCTGTCTGTGTCTGTCTGTGTCTGTCTGTGTCTGTCTGTGTCTGTCTATCTGTCTGTCTGTCTGTGTCTGTCTGTGTCTGTCTGTGTCTGTCTGTGTCTGTCTGTGTCTGTCTGTGTCTGTCTGTGTCTGTCTGTGTCTGTCTGTGTCTGTCTGTGTCTGTCTGTCTGTGTCTGTCTGTGTCTGTCTGTGTCTGTCTGTCTGTCTCTGTCTGTCTGTCTGTCTGTGTCTGTCTGTGTCTGTCTGTGTCTGTGTGTGTCTGTGTCTGTGTCTGTCTGTGTCTGTCTGTCTGTCTGTCTGTCTGTCTGTCTGTCTGTCTGTCTGTGTCTGGTCTGTCTGTCTGTCTGTCTGTCTGGTGTCTGTCCTGTCTGTGTCTGTCTGTGTCTGTCTGTGTCTGTCTGTGTCTGTCTGTCTGTCTGTGTCTGTCTGTGTCTGTCTGTGTCTGTCTGTGTCTGTCTGTGTCTGTCTGTGTCTGTCTGTGTCTGTCTGTGTCTGTCTGTGTCTGTCTGTGTCTGTCTGTGTCTGTCTGTGTCTGTCTGTGTCTGTCTGTGTCTGTCTGTGTCTGTCTGTGTCTGTCTGTGTCTGTCTGTGTCTGTCGGTGTCTGTCTGTGTCTGTCTGTGTCTGTCTGTGTCTGTCTGTGTCTGTCTGTGTCTGTCTGTGTCTGTCTGTGTCTGTCTGTGTCTGTCTGTGTCTGTCTGTCTGTCTGTCTCTGTCTGTCTCTGTCTGTCTCTGTCTGTCTGTCTGTCTGTCTGTCTGTCTGTCTGTCTGTCTGTCTGTCTGTCTGTCTGTCTGTCCGTCTCTGTCTGTCTGTCTGTCTGTGTTTGTCTGTCTGTCTCTCACTCTTTTTTGTGCTCAGTCTGTGTCTGCACTTTATTGCCATCAGAAAGTATCAGAGAAAAAGAGGGTTGTTGCACCACAGCCATTTTTGCTATGAAGCCTGTTCTTGACATGTCTTCATTCGTCCTCTGCTTGGCATCTGTTGCTGATAGTTTGAAGGCAGGGGTTGCAACTCGCATTCTGCACGAGTAAGCAAGGCCTTTCAATGAAATCGTTGCAAAAGTGGCTTTTTCGCAGGGGATCGTGAAGAAGATAGCTTTCGTCGTGGAAAGCTGCCAAATCCCCAAAGAACACGCGCGGTGCCGAACAGTCGGAAATTCTGCGGCTTTTTGTTGTGTTTGATGGGCTTGGAGCAAGTTACCTCGTGTTGCCTGGCTCTTCTGGCGGAAAGCGAGACAACACACTCATGCTCCTTTTCTGTGCAAAGTTGCAACAGAAATCGAACTTTTTGTTTTGTCTGCTAAACATGCCTGGCGGCCTCAACGCATCAGCCGTCCTTTTCTGGATATCGCTAGCATGAAGACGTACTTGCTACAATACATGTTCTCCTAGGCAGGTGCGCTGACAGCGGCTTCTGCCGCAACTTTGTCCTGCAGCGCCTCTTCTTGAGGAGTGTTGAGAGGTCCAGGGTAAAGCTGGTACCTCTGCCGTAGATGTAGACTTTAGAGAAGCTTGGAGTATGGTACGTCTGGCTACTCCACAGCATTTGCCATTGCGCCGTCGATTTTTCTAACTTTGATAGGGGGTTGAAATTTGGCCTGGCTTGCAGCTTGCCGCCCTGTTGCTGCAAGGTCCATTTTCGCGGTTTCGTTGCTTGGCCAATGTCCAGCTGGCACACCGTTCCATGGGGTCTCAGTGTTGTCTATGATCCGATCGTCAGTGTTGAAATGGTTCCGTCAAAGGTAGGTCTTCCCAGATTCCCACCCACAGACCTTGCACCGATATCTAAGCAGAGAGTTGTCAACTAGTGATTTGTCTCGCAGGTTCAGTGTCACCAAGTTTGACTGCTCGTAGCTACTGTGGAAGGCAGTTCTAGTTGTGTTTGCTGCGTCGCAGTATTGGGAGAGGAAGTTGGCGTTTCAGAAGATCCCTTCTCCTGTGCATGAGTTTGATGCGAGGTGCTCGCATTTGTGTTGGCTGAGTTTGTGTCACGCAAAGCCCTTGACATATTTGTAGGTCAGCATTTATACTCAGAAGTTAATGCTTGACGGCATCGCAAGTCGTAATCTGCGGTCGAGTCCGTACCGAGGGCCTGCCGTGGCTGGTCTCGGTGCACTACGCAGCCTTCGTCTGGCAGCCGCGCGGCAAGGGACAAGGATTGCAGGTACGGTCGGACCCATTAAAACAGTCTCGCGGCTGAAACTCGAGCGGCGTATGCAGGGCGATGCGAAGGCACTGAAAAGCTCTCCCATTTCTCCACAGATTCGCGAGACGCATGGTACATGCTGTCATGACTTTCCTGCACCAACAGCCCATAGCACTGCCGATCTCAGTCTGATAAGATGCGAACCGGAGAACCGAGAGCTAGTGGGGCAACTGACAGCAAGTCTGCAATGGAATACATGAATACATCTTAAGTCCGTCACTGTTGACCCAAAGGCCTGCAGCGTAGCATGTGTAGTGACATCGATGTTTGAGGAAGGTGCTATCGGACAAAACTCCGCTTTGATGCGGTTTTGGGTCATGGCAAGCCATGGCGTCACGTGTCTGCTGAGGCCACCTTCGGAGCCCTGCGACGCTTTGGCCAATGCTTGGCAGACATCCTCCCGGTGGGGGGAGGGAAGAGGGTTACGGGGGAATTGCCGGGCCCGAAGCACCTGCCGTGCACCTGCATGACAAGCACCAATCCACAGATTCATTTTCAATAGAAGGTTTCGACTGACTAGTGACTGGTGGTGATATGCACATTGTCTTCTCTGTTTCACCTGCTGGCGTTGTGGTCGGTGCATACGAGCAAAGCAGCATGCATGCCAGTCGGAAAGCAAGCAGCAAGCACATCACCAAAGCAGCAAACCGGCAGGCCAAGGACATCCCAAGACCTTTTTGCCGAAAGCGGTCCCCTTCATGCTCTTGTTTTGCGTCCAAGGGGTCCGAGGAGGCGGAGGGCTCCATGTAGAAGAGGAAGCAGAAGCAGCAGGAGTAGGAGTAGGAGCAGGAGCAGGAGCAGCTGCAGGACCAGGAGCAGGAGCAGGAGTAGGAGCAGGAGCAGCAGTGCACCCTGAAGAGATTTGGAAAGTAGCTTTCCGTTCTGCAGTTGGGGACGAACCTCGCATGCAAGCCCCTAAACCAACAAGCGCCGAGGTTTTCCAGCACTACCCAACAAGAACACTTTGCCAGCCACGGTCATGCAGCGAAATCACCCCATGTGCCTCTGTTTCGCTTGATAGGCCTGAAGGGGAGTTCCAAGAAGAATGGACAAAACCTTCGTGGAGACCAGAAATGGAAACATGCCTTTCTTGTTTTGGTCCTTCGGTCACTGTTCGCTTGTTGCTGTTGCTGTCTTTCAGTGGCGATAGTGGTGATGGTGGTGCTAATGGTGGTTTACATGGCATTCTGGTGTGTCTCTGGCGAGCTGCGGCAAGGAGAGCAGAAGGAGGAGGGTTGTTGGGACCAGCCATGGCATCGGATTTCTGTATGGCCTTTGGGCTCATGCAAGAAATTACCTGCGTGTGGAGACAAACAGGGAGTGTTGCGGGACGATGGGTTGCAGCTGTGTGCACCTGCGTTGCATCGGCCAAAGCAGGCGATGACACAGATGATGGGCCTGATCTGCGTGGTGCAATATGCTTTCGCTGCTGTTGCACTAGAAACTCTTGGGCATCAGAGCCCGCGTGGCTTTGTACGGCCCCCAGTAAGGTGTTGAGCAGCTAGTTTTATTTCTGATACACTGGCTCGCTAAGGCGACATTTCCGGAAGCGGCCATGTCGCTCCTGCAGATTCTCCTGAACGCCGACGGAACAACTATGGCAAGAGAGGCGGTGCACAAGGCAGGTGATGGATCGATCTGATGGTGACTGCATGTGTTCCGGGCAGTTTTCATGCATGACAGGCTCGCCCAGCCACGATTGTCATCTTTATCGGTTACTATGCTATTGCCGTTCTGGTTGTGGTCAATCTCGTCACAGCGTGCTGGGCCAAGCTTGACATAGATGATCCAAGGTGAGCCACGTGAGAGAGGGTTTGCAGCATTTTGAAGCCGAGGCTGATGATTGAGTTCTACCGGGCAAGTTTGGCTGAGAACGTGGAGAAGCGGGAAGCACGACAGTCGGAGATCACGCGTCAGGTCCAGGCCCGATTTTTGCACGAAGCGAGGCTTGACGATTGTTGCTGCTGGTGGTGGTAGTGCTGCTGCTGCTGCTTCTTGATGTAGTCGTCACTGTAGCTGCTCGTCTTACTGCTACTGCTGTTGTTGGTGCCTTTCTGCTTCTGGATCTTGCTCTTGCCGGCCTTGGTATGGTCGCTGACTGGACATCTCATGCAATACTAACATGAACTGATCATCTCGATCGCTTTGTTCTGTGCATTGCAGGGGCAGGGTGGGTCCGACGATTTGCAGCAAAGCACGTAGAATGAAACATGCAGCATCCCAGTGCCTAAGAGTGCCCGAGCGTCAAAAGTAGTGCGGCATCAGCCCTGCCAGCTCCTGCATCTCCGAAGGGGCCACAAGCCCCCAAGCGCCTGAAAGTGCTCACAAGCGCCTACGCATGTAAAAGATTATGAAGGCCCCCAAGCGTCCAAAACAGGTTGTTGGTTCTGCGATTGTGCTCAGAGGCTTGGAAGCCTAGGGGCCTAGAGGACCAAGGCATTAACAATGAAAGGCGGCGCTTTCAAAAGCAAGCGTCTACAAGCTTCTCAATGCTTGTTCAAAAGAATTTGTGCAGGGCTGGAGACTTCGGGAGCTTACGGACAAACCCGGGAGCTCAGGAGCTTAAAAACATGAACCGCCAAATCGGTATCCAGTAGTTATATGATATCGAAACTTTGGCTTCTGAAACCACGCATACACAGATACACAGGAGAGAGAGATAGAAACGAGATACGGAAACAGAGAGATTAAGCTACTAGTGCGTGCTGCTCCACACAGGTTGCATTATGATCGATGTGTTTGGAATATGGTAGAGGGAGACAACTAAGCATCAAGAGAATTTGAAATGTTCTGACCTGTTTTGGATATTGGCAGATTGTATGAGAGCTCGCTTAGGTCTAGCCACTGGTAGCGGATGAAGGAGCCTTCTTGTGTTTCTTTGTCATCCACGAGGATATCTAATCAAAGAAAATAACACCACCATCCAGAAGTAATCGAGCTTTCCTGTGTCTTGTTTAAATGAGGACGGCTTGCTGCTTCTTCCAATAATCGACAAACAATCGGTGGACCCGAAGCGCGGAAGCAGAAACGGATTCTGTTTTGGGTTTTGGGTGGCTTACACATACAACAAGCAAGCAAAATGAGTGGAGGGAAGCCTATATGAAGTGCCGAAACCACTACAGAAGGTTTCTGGACCTACGAGAAAGCACCTTGAGGACACATAAAGCTGCAGACAAACAGTTGGCAAGAAGGCTGGGGTCGATCATGGGGGGTGTGTGTGTGTGACCATATAATATATGTGTATACACAGCTATATACATGTATTCGCATACGTACGTACGTACGTACGTACGTAACCGTGTATGTATGCATCTTTGTAGATATAGCTAAACATAAAGCTACAGCAGCACAGAAGGATATGGACATAGATATTCAACAGGCCACCTATGCCTATGCGCACAAATCTCGAGCGAGCGACAGTGCAAACATGAATGCACAAATCTGTGAATCGTTTCATTGGCAAGCACACGCATGGAAACGAGACATGCGTGCCTGATCCTTCTGTTTATCTGTTGGAAAATGGAGCTGGGGTCCTGGCTGTCGTTTATTCCTTGCTGTTTTGATTGCTTGCGCTGTCGCCGCGGACTCACGGACCGTATAATACAAGAGAGCCAGAGAGAACGAGAGAGACAGAGAGAGAGGAACCACAAAATCACATAGCATGGAGTCATCCAGATCTCGTCAGGGCCATGGGCTGTGTGCTTGAGGAGTTTAGTTGGCCACGGGCTTTAGGGCTTTAGAGTGTTGGGGTTTTAGGGCTTGAGGGCTTCAGTAATAGGGTATTCGGGTTTAGGGTTTTAGAAACTTTCGGGCTTTAGAGCATTGGGGTTTAGGGCTTCAGAGTTTTAGGGTTTAAGGTTTTGGGTCTTCGGGGCTGGAGAGTATTGGGGCCTAGGGTTCTAGGGCTTTGTGGCTTAGAATGCTTAGGGTTTTGAGGGCCTTAGAGAATTAGGGTTTAGGGATGTAGTTTAAAGCCCTAAAGTCCCAAAACCTTAAATCTTAATCATCTCAAGCCCTGATGCCAGAGACAGAGGGTCTCCACAACTAGCCCCCCCCCTCCGCCGAAGAAAGAGAGGGAATTAGGAACCTCTCCCCCTTAGAAAAACAGGGGGGACGTGCCACTCGCGTACGTACGAGTTGCCAAGCGCCCAACCTTCAGATCCACTGTAACAGGTTGAGTGTCGATTCACTGCTACAAGTACGCCTGCATTGTCTGCTGATATCTAGGGTGCACATTCAGATGCTCTTTCCGCACGCATGTACAAAAGTCATTCGTTTAACTTTTCGCGGGGCGTCTCGAGTCTCTAGCATGCATGTTCGAGTTTACCACTTACCACTTCTACACGAAAAGGGTATGACCGAAGCACGCAGAGAAGGACAAGACAAGATCAGGGAATGAGTAGATACAACTGGGTCCAACGCAAAACAGGTCTAAATTGAGGAATTGCAACCGTTTGCGGTGCAGCGCAATCATGCTGGAGTTTACCATGCAGGTACTTCAACAGCCATGTATGCGACATGCGTCGCCCGACCAGGACTTGCTTCGGGAGATGGAGGTGGTGGAAAACTTGGGCTTCGAGGTCGCCGGTTCCAAAGAGAAGCTTCGCCAGCACCCAGTTACCGTATCGTTGTGAAGAGCGTCGACAAGTGACTCTGTGCAAGGACCGGGATAGAAAGGCTCCGCGAAAAATTCTTGGGACGAGGGCAAGCCGATGTCGTGGATGAGGAGCTCTTGCGACAGGCTGGTGGATGCAGTGTTTTTACATTTTACACGACGGGGCGGGTCTCTGGCCGTTGTGAAAAGTCTTGACCAACCCATAGAAATGTTGGTCGCCACTGTGTTTTTTGCAAGAGAACAGAATCGAAGTAGCATTCTCGCCGAGGTGCAGAAAGAGGTGCCTCTAAGGGACCTGCTGTCTTTGCACCGGTCGAAGAGTGGTTCGAACTTCGCTGGGTCAAATCCAACGACGCCCGGAAGCGGTGTGCACTGATTGGATGGTTGGACAGGCCGGGCAAGGCCGGACTGGCCATGCTTGCCTTGCATATGCACGCGTCGGCGAGATCCGTTGAGCATCATTCCGGGCAGCCTGCCACGTGTCGGGTAAGGATATTTCAGATTTGTCGCATCCCAAAGGGAAGCGGCCTGATGCGAGTCGCCCGGTCAAGTCTAAGAGCACAGGAAAGCCATGTACGTACGGCGGCAGGGCAGGATATGCTGGTGTCGTCCAAGCATGAACAAAGCTCACAGTCTTTGTGTTGCTGTGCTAAATCGTTCCAGAAGCTTTTGCGGATTTTCGTGCTTGCTTTGGGCTTGGCAGTCTGGGTGGCCTGGACGTCAGCGTCCAGAGACCCGGAAGTTTGAAGGGTGCTTTCGCATGTCGAGTACAGTGCTGATACAAGCTTGTATAGACGTATGTCTTTGGCATTGCGTGCTTTTCCCCATATGCACGCAGACCTGCTATTGCCAACGTATCTTGCTCGACCAGAACCTACTCGTACCTGCCCGGAAAAAGTTGCATGTACTCTTCTGGACGATGGCCGGGCAATTCCCCGTGCACGCAATCAACTAGCATTGCCTTAGGACGATGGCCGCGCAGTGCGAAGTGCATGCAATCAGCCAGCATTGCGTGTGTGAAGATCCACCACCACGTGAATGGAGACACAGTTGTGCTCATGCTAGGTAGCTCGCAAGATGGGTAGCTTCTTTTGGGAAGGTTGTGCATGAGACAAGCATAGATATCGCAAAACACCAGTTCATTGGACGCGCCATGATTTGGGGATGCAAGCGGCCTGTGTAGACTTTCAGGAATCCCCTCAGCCGCAGTATCTTCTTAATTGCTCTTCAGTGTTTGCGTGAGCTTGCACAGATTTGTCGAAGTGAACTCGACTTAGCATGGTGCGCGCTGAAGTGTTCTACGACACCGTGCAGATCCTTGGTCTGACCTTTCAAGGTAATTTCCGATCCCCTCTCACACAAGGCTGTGTGCCTCCGTTTCGTCAGCATCGGTAGGTTGTCTGAGGAGTGGGGGCCGAAAGACCTCGACACTGCTCGTGTCAGCGGCGGCTTGCCCACGGAGTCAGGTGCTTGACTGCTTTGTGCCAAAAGAGAGTTGATACGGTATGGATGCTGTCTCTCTGATTTTTGGCAGGTTTGGCCTCATTTCCTGGACACGCCACAAATCCGCCTCGAGGTGCCATCGCAGTGGCCGGCTACTTTAGGGCCATAGTTCCATGCTCAGGCACGCAACAGAGCCTTCGCAGACTTTTCAAGCTTCCTCGAGAACAAGGACCTTGTTTGCAGCTTGAGAATTCATTTTCAGACTTTTCGGCCGTAAATCTCAGCTGGACTGCGCTGTCAGGATCTAGCGAAGCAAGCAGGCCAGGACTTTGATTTCGGAATCTGGCATCTTGCGGTGGCACAAATCTAAGCCTAACAATCCTCGACTTGTCTCAGTATGTTAGGTCACGATGCCGATAGTGCACTGGAACCCGGGCTGCACCACTCCACGCTTTCAAGCGTTTGCTTGGCATGCACCTAGCAAGGACTTAGCGTACAACGCGGAGATTCAAACATTTCGCGCAGACGAGAAGGTAGAGGACTCTGAGGAGCGATGCCCACGTGCCCACGAGATTTGGGGGTCTAGTCTAGAGACCTGAGTTATTGCAGAACGAGACGTTCTGCTGCACATCACTAATCAAGCATACCTTTCGAAGGGTGTGCTTGTCGGATCATGCGGACATTGATTCCAAGCTGTCGGCTGTCTTTGATTGAGTGCAGAGGCAGGTTTGTCACAAGGTCATGTTATGTAGGCTGTCACATATCTGATTCTGATGGTTTGACTTGAGACTGTGATGAACGGGCGCCTGAACCGCTGCTCGGGAGGTTTCTGCCAGTTTCTGCTGCTCTTCGGTGTCTTTGTTCTATGCACTCCAGGTTTGGGTCACACGTAGGGACGCACGATACTCCAACCTGAGCACGGAAGCACGCGGAGGCCTGCACTCTGCGCAGCATGGAATGAAGTTTTGCAATCCATGTCTGAGAGAATCTCCACTACATTATCGCACGTCGTGCACGTCTATATCAGTCTAACACATGTTTTTCGTGAGATGCCATCTGGTGGAGGAGCAGGTCGAGGCGGCTGAGGGATGGGAGGAGTACGAGCTGTGTCCTGGCTTCGAAATGGTGTATACAACTGGCTGCGCCGTATTCTAATCACCGCATTTCCCCCGGCAGCACCAGAAGCAAAACCACAGACAGCAGCAAGAGCATCAGCATTACAGTACCTGAGTGTTCGTATTCGCGTTAGTACTATAGTAGTAGCATCCGCTTTCGCATCGGCTTTGGCAATGGCATTCGCAGTCGCAGTAGCCTGAGCGTCATCGTCAGACTCACTATCATCATAACCATAATCATTCATCATCCGCATGCTCATTCGCTTCTTCATTCCTCGTCCTCATTCCTCATTAGGGAAGTTGTGAGTTTCAGGGTTGTCGAGGTTAGTTTCGGTGCTGAGTTCTCGGAGCCGATTCCGCAACATGGTCCGGGACAGTTTCGCATCAGGACAAGGTCAGTTTTGGTTCACGCCATGGCCAGTTTCAGGCCCACGCCAACAAGAATCGGAGTGAAACTGCCCACCTCGCCCCCCGAAAGTCACAGACCCGCGTCCCGAAACTGACTCCCGCTGTGTCGAAACTGGGCGCCGAAACTATTGATCCGAAACCCCGGCAGCCGATCCGAAACCACAACCCCGAAACTATGGGCACCATGGGCACCCCATTCCTCATCGTCATCAGCATCGGCGTCGGTGACAGCGTCAGCGTCAGCTTTAAAGCATTGTCAGCATTGTCAGCAGTGTCAGCATAGTCACTAGTCAGCATAATCAGCATCATCAGCATCATCAGCATCATCATCATCACCACCACCACCACCACCATCACCATCACCACCACCACCACCACCACCATCATCATCATCATTTCAGCAAGAACCGGCACAGCACCAGCATGCCGCCACAGCACGGCCGCCACCGCTACTGCCAGTGCCGCTGCTCCGCTCTCGGCCGCCGCCACCTTTATTTACGCAACCGAAAGCGGATGCCCCAGCGCTGCACTCCGCCGACAACGCCGCGGCACGAACTGCCCACTCACAGCTCGCGGAGCTGTCACCGGCACCGGCCCCGTGAGTTTCCCAGCAGCACCCCACCATGACATGGAACGCCGGCCACCTCGGTGGAGTCACTTGCAGAGGTCCTTGCTTGCTCTTCTGGCTCTGACGATGGTGGGGACAGCCGGATGGCTGTACAATCAGTGCACCGACTTGAAGTTTGATCGGGCCGCGGCCGGAATTGCAGGTGTCGCCTTTGTTTCAGGTATCAGAGATGGCTCGGTCTCAAGAAGGCACTTCGCAGCACGACGCCACAGTGGATGCAGAGACGTGTTGATCATTCACCAACGGGTAGTCGTGTCCCAATCTAAGAGGTGCTGGAAGCCAGCGCACTTTTTAAGTCGCAATCAGAGAGGTGCTGGTATTCGGCAGAATTTGCCAGGCAATGGCGGAACATCACAACAGGCAGTGAGGCTGAGTGTGTGGTCCTCATCGTTTTGTGCAGATTTTCACCAAGGACTTGTCTGCAAAGTTTACAGGCAGTGGATGCGCAGTATTCGAAAAGGACGCTGATGGTCAACTGTGAAGAAAAGCAGGCACTTTCGGTGCTCTCTGAGAGAGATGGACTGAGTCCCGAGATGGATACATGACCAATGTCGCCGAGATGGCTGATCTGACGAGGTGTTGAGGTTGCCCATGATCACGGCAGTTGCGCATAAGATCTGATGCTGCACGTCTTGGCTCGATGTGTGAAGACTGAGATTAAGCCCTTACGACAGTTAGCACTTTCGAGATGCATTGCCAGTGGCACAAGCCTCCTGCCAAAAGCTACCGAACTCTCGTTTGCACCGTTCAATAGGGTGCCCTTCCTTCGACTGTAACAGCGCGTTACAGACTGCGAGAGACTTCCATTCTCCTGCAGAGAGGCCGAGAGCCCATCGCAGTGCTTAGGGTTTCGAGGTCGCATGCCTTCGTAAGCCCACGCCATGCATCAATTGGGCACGATCTACTTCTTTCGCGAGTCTAATTAGTGGGGACACTGGCCTAGTGAAGCCCACATGCATCAGGCTTTCCGACCTTGTCAGCCAGCGAAGCCAGCAATAGGAAAGGGAGGGTTCACAGAGGACGGGCAGGAGCAACAAAGTCTTTGCAACCACAGGAGCTGGGACGACATGCAAGGTGGCTCGCTGGAGGTTGGGTGGGGCCTATGATCAATAGCCAGGCAGTTCAATGTCACCGTGTTTAAACAGGAGGCTTCCTCTGGGAAAACGCTGAATGCAAAGGATTGTCAACACAAAGAGGCCGCATGGCCGAATCACGGGCGGTACAGCCTTGTTTTCATACGAAGCAAGTCATTCACGCCGGATGCATTCGGCAGATATTGGCAGCATAGTCTTACTTGCGCAGAATAGTCCTGCACCGCCGTGGTTTTGTGGTCCACGCTGCTTTGTGGCCCTCAGTCGCGCGGCCTTTTGGGGCTGTGGATTTCTCAGCCAACATCCCATTTTGGGGTGTAGGGTTTCTCAACGTCCCTGTTAGGATCGCGGGTATACGACTAGTTACCACTGCTACTACTACGACGACTAATTACTGCTCTTGCTGCCGCTGCTGCCGCTCCAACTCCTAATTCCCACTCCCACTCCGACTCCTCCTCCTCCTCCTGCTCCTCCTGCTGCTACTACCACTGACTACTACTACTACTACTACTACTACTACTACTACTACTACTACCAGTACTACCACTACTACTACTACTACTACTACTACTACTACTACTACTACTACTACTACTACTACTACTACTACTACTACTACTACTAAGGGTCTCGGCTGGAGCATGCCAGGTGCCAGGGCTAGCTGAAGTGTCACAGGGTTCATGGTTACTTTGTCGCTTGCTGCTCGCTGCTTTTCTGGCGCTTTTCTTCTGTATGCAACACGGCTCCTGCGGACCTCGGCGCGACGTATACGTATGCTCACGTACAATATAGGTGGCCTTGCTCCTGAATCGTACGATGTCTTCGTTGATTGGTTGGGTAGACAGAAGCTTGCTGATGTAGTGATCCTGCAAGAGCTTCATCATGGCTGTGGGCGAGAGGATGCTCGATGGGTGATGCCTAATGGCTGGTTGGCTATTACGACTGCTGACAATTCCAATCGCTATTCGGGTGTGGGTGTCTTTCTGGCGCCTTGGCTTAACCGCGCCGCGCAGGTGCATGCTTGCACGTGGCGATCAGGTCGTCTGTTGCATGTCCGATGCGATTTACCCAGACGGTCTCTTGACATTGTTGGTATGTACCAGTTTGTCGAACGCACTAGTGGTACGACCAATAATGGGAGTAAGCGTAGTGCCCTCTGGGCTGAGCTGAGTAGACTGATACATGGAATCCCACATCGCAACCTGCTCTGCATTGGGGCAGACATGAACTCAGTCTGCGATTGCTTGCCTGGCTTGGTGGGGCGTGGAGTCCAGCCCCACCCTCAGCGTGATGCGGATGAGGAGTTGCAGCGTCTCCTGCAGGAACATCAATTAGTACTGTTGAACACGTGGGGTGGATCGCGCCGTAGCCGTGCACATACGTATGCCCATGGAGTTCATAAATCGCAGATTGACTTCTTGATCACGAGGCGAGTGGCAGCTGATCCCCCGTCGCGCACAGCGGCTCCGCAGGACCTGGATTTAACGCCGTGGCGTCTGGGCAAAAGCACCGCCCTGTACTGGGGTCCCTGCCTTTCAGAGCCGGGTGGGCGCTGTCTAAGCCACGTGACCAGTTGCAGCCCTGCTTCTCCCTGGCCGCGTTTCGTGAAGCCTTTCGCCGGCAGGATCCTGTGGTCATGAGCGTACTGCAGCCGCAAATTCAAGCCTGCATTGACGAACAGCTGGCTGCTGGTCACTACTCCCTAGAGACCCTTAGCCGAGCGGCCCTTGAGATTTGCAGCCAGGTGTTTCCACCCGGTAGTCACCGTCCTCGTCCCCAACCTGATAAGGTCCCTACCCAGCAAGTCACAGTCGGCATACGGCATATGTAGCTCAGCGCGCTGCTCCTAGCAGTCGCTCCTTTGCGGTTTGGCAGAAGTATCAGTCCTTCATGCAACAGTTCAAGGAACTGAAAAAGCAATGTAGGCGTGCCCGACGCCAGAAGCTAGAACACTTCATTGATCTGGTCCATGAAGCATCTCTTCGACAGGACAGTGCAGAAGTGTATCGCATTGTGCGCCTTCTTGCGCCCAAGCAGCGAAGGACTCACACGGCCATCCGCTCTGCAGATGGCCATTTGCTGTCGCAGTCTGACCAGTTTGATTCCATCTTTAAGTACTTTACGGAAGTTTACATGAGGCCCGACCCCTTCACCCCTAATTTTGGTTCTGCCATAGTCCCGATTAGGGTTGATGAAGTTAAAGAGGCTGTGACCTCCTTGAAGACAGGAAAGGCAGTCCCACGTGACAGCTTGACTGCCGAGCTCTGGCAGACCTGTGCGACGTCATATGGCGAGCTCTTGCCTGGAGCCTTGCAGCAGAGTATCTCGCAACAGCACTGTTACCAGCCTGAGGTTTCTAGATGCACCCTTTCTTTATTGCCTAAGCCTGGCAAACCCAGTCGCCAACCTCGAGACCTCAGACCGTTGGGGCTTCAGGATCCCGCCTCTAAGACGTATGCTGTTGTTCTCAGAGGTAGAATCATAGAGCAGGCTCGGGTGCTGTTGGCTGACCGTCCGCAGTTCGCCTACTGCGCAGGCAAGCCCGTCGATGAAGCAATCGTAAGAGTGGCTTCCCACTGTGTCGCGGTAAGGGAGCACATCAAGCGTGGTGAAATCAGTGTTCATGAACGTAGAAGTGGCCGGACTGCCTCTGGGTGAATCGGCGGCGTGATGGTCTCCTTAGACCTGTCGAGAGCTTTTGATGCTCTGCCCAGATGGGGGCTGGAGGCTTCCTTACGCCATGCCGGCATCGAGCAGCCGCTCATCGATGCAGTCCTTGCGGTGCACGAGCAGTGCAGTTACCGGATTCATCATGGTAAACATAAGGGTGAAGTTGATATGCAGATGGGGGTCCGGCAGGGATGTGCATTGTCCCCAATTCCCTACAGTCTTTTTACCATCTGGATCTATGATCGCCTTGCTGAAGCTACATCCCCCGAATGGGCTTCTGCGTGCGCCACGCTCTTCGCAGACGATACCCATTTGAGCTGGCTGATCCACAATCTGGGTGACTTGATGTTTTGCTGCAAGTGCCTCCAGCGTACTTTTGCCATCTTTCGCGAGGCTGGTATGGAGTTTAACACTGGTAAGTCTAAGCTGGTTATCCAACTAAACGGCGGCATTGCCAAACGCTGGATGCAGCAGCACCTTCAGGTGACGACCCAAGGCCCGGTGGTTGACATGGGGACCCCGCACACTCCCCTACTCCTCCCTCGGGTGCGCAAGTTTGTGTATTTGGGCATAGTTGCGTCATACAACAACTAACTTCGAGCTTCAGACATGTCACCACCGTGTTAGCGTTGGCCTGCAGAATAAGCATAGGCTCGTTAAGATCTTGCACTCCCGAAGCCTTTCCCTGAAGTACCGCGCGCGCCTCTACGTTGCATGTGTACGTACATACGGTTGGGGTTACTGCTTCAGTTTGCTATAAGCTTGAAACGGCCGACGCTCGAGCACTGCGGGCAATTGCACGGTCTCCGAGTTTTCTGACCCATGAGGCCACCACTCGGCTTCGTGCCCGACTGGGAGTTGATTCGCCTAATACTGTACTCACCAAACTCTTGCAGGGCCGCATCCAGAAGAGTGCTGATGCTCCCAGCCGTGCCTTTTTCAGTGAGCAGCTGCATTTACTTCGGAGCGTTCTTGACCCGCCGGCTGGAGAAGTCCTGAAGCCCTGCCAATCCGTGCAAATGATGGCTTGTGATACCTTCTCAGAACGCCGTTTACTTCTCTCGCACATCGCCCGGAAACACCCTGAACTGGTTCTCCCAAAGCGTAGGATCACAGCTAAGGAGTACTCCAGCTGCAGTGTGGATGGGATGCCGCAATGTGCAAGATGTGGTCGGATTTTCACTAGGGTTGAGGGTTTGAAGAAGCATTTGCAGAAGGATTGTCGTCTTACTGCGGGTTCAATAACGCCAGCTGTTTCTGCCGAGATCTCGACACCGACCATTGAGGAGGCTACACCGGGCGTGGTGGCAGAGGTACCACCCCCGGCGGGAGACGCCTAGGTGCCGTTCTCCCGACGTAGCCTCCCGCGTGTCCGCTGATGAGGTAGGACCGGATGCCAGGTTGGAGGAACATGCAGCCACCTCTCCACAAAACCCTCCTGTGACTTCTGCAATGAGTGATCCCCCGCGCGCGGAACCTGCATCGTCTCCTGAAGTCACACAGCCTGGACTCATCCATAATGCTGCCTTCCGACGACAAGTTCGTAAGAACTGGCGATCCGTTCTGCATCAGGCTGATTACTGCGCCAGTCTGCGTACTTACTGCG